ACAGAACACGTACCCTTCTCCCGCCTCTCCACAGCCTCTCCACAGCCTCTCCACAGTCTCTCGGTGCGGGGAGTGGGGCTGAAGCACCGGCTGGAGACGTGGACTCTGAGCGCCGCAATCAGCAAAGCAGCACACACGACCACACAAGGGTCCTCCAGGAGCCGACGAGTCCAGACGAGGAGTGTCTGATTGGGCCTAAACGTGGGACAATGAGCAGAGAAGACACCAGAGGTCTGAGTGAAGAGCTGCCCGCGGAGACAGCCATTTACCAATCCAACTGCAATCAGACACCAACACAGCCTTCTGAGGAACACTTGGCAAGCAGGCAGCAAATGTGTCTTGAGTCTATTGTTTTTTGTCTGTTTGTTTGTTTTTTATGAAGATGGGGTGTTAGCTCAAAAGACGGCAAACTTCAATTACATTTTTATATATTTAATTCTGTAAGCAACTTGAAGTTAATTACAATCTTTTTTTTTCTGTTCACTTACAGTCTGTCACTGAGAAAGATGATGTCAAATTAGAAAACAGAGTGAATAGTGTCTACAAGTAGTTGACAGAAAAACTACAGAACAGATCCAGTCTATAATGGTGAAAAAACTAAATATTGTATGATACACCAAAAGATTTGTCTGCATCTCTGTAATCACACTTTTAAAAAAATACTTTTCTGATGAATTGCAAAAATTGTTTCATTATTTTGTCACATCGTCCATCCTTATAGAAGCAATGACATCCACATACAGACTCAAGCAACATGCAGACAAAGCAGAAGAGAACGCCTAACATCTAGATCTCTTCTAACTGACACAGCCTCTGTCTGGCACAGCACACAAGCCTCTCACATGCAGACGCAAAATGAAGTCTTACTGTTTTTGCCAAATGCCTGTCCTCTCTGTGCTGATTGAACAAAATGAGTGGTGCTCTATTGTTCTGAAGCTCCCTTCAAACACACTGTGAGTAAAACACAATGAAAGCTGCCAGGCTGCACAGCCTCTCACCTGGAAGTTGTAAAGTCTGAATGACCTTTGACTGCTGTAGAAGGTATTTCATGTATAATACTCTGAATGTTTGTGGGGGCGTGGCCTGTGGCAGTCGACCCTGTATTCACTGTTCATGTGCATGTGCAGCCCACTGCTCGGTTTATTGATTGTTCAGCTGTGATGGAATGATGGGTGTGTTTAAGTGATGGTGAATCAAAAACATTCTACTAGGATGGGATACAACAAAAAAGACATACCAAACCTATGTGCAGTAAACATGAAGGCACTATATTGCTTCTGCAATGTACAGTGTACTGTATCATGCAAAACTGTTCAAATGAATGAAACTAAAGCAACTTCAGTTTGTACACATTTTAGACAGAGAGCTGTTCAACATTTGACACCAGTGCACACAAAGGCTGAGATCCTGAAGGAAACATGCCCCTTCCTCTGGTGGCTTCCTGTTGCCATGACAATGGGAAGGGCCTGCTTCCTGCATGTTTCCTTCATAAGCAAAGCCCCCACACTGTGAAAGTTGCTCTGAACAAGCTCCACTCCTCCAGAGCACTCCAGACTCCGGGCTCCAGATTCTGTAAGTACACTTTATAGTCTAACCTGCTTTGTCTATTCAAGGATGGATCTGACATTTGAATGGATTAGTACAGTCCTTGTTAACTATAGTTCGTGCTTGAAACCTAGTGTCGTATGGCATTATGTATGACAGAACATACTTTATTTTCCACTGTACTTGTTTGGGAGCATTAAGCTTTTACATACATTCCAAACATTGACATTGAGCTGTAGCGCTCACAGAGAGGTGCTGAAGAAGACAGCTGCTTGTTAGTTTAGGTCAGTGTGACGTTTTAAAGAATAAACAGGAACGGTCAAAGCACTATTCCCTGAGGGATCACACACTGTTCCACTATTGCATTCTATAATTACTGCAGCAGCTGTGCCATCAAAGTACTAACAACCTTTTTTTTCTCATCTTTTCTGTTGACCAGCGCCACCATGTGAATGTGTCCCATTGTTGTCCATTCATATGATGGAGGTGAGTGCAGTTGGAGGTGAGTGCAACTCTTTTCCAAGACTGTGAGCCTTTCTTTAATTTGCCTTTTGTACAGTGTCCCTTCCAAGCAGCTGTGAGGACCTTTACCAACCCAAAGCGTGGCATGGACGTGTCCCACTCGGCCACCCCTGGGCCATCCCCCTGCCCTGGCAGGGAGGGGTCTAATGGGGACGTGATTCTGGCTGTTCTCCTGGTGACTGTGGCTGGAGTGGCTGTGCTCCTGTTGCTCTACAGACTACTGCAGCTGCGCCACAGGTGTGGGAGCTCGGCACTGCCTATACACCGACCACCTTTACCTCTCAGTAACTGAATCTTGTTTTCAGGCTGAAGATGGCAAGAGCGAGACATGCACTGGAGTATTACGGCTTTTACCACAGCGCCACCTACAGGCTCCCGCATGTACCACTCTACGAGGATGAGGCTAAAACAGGGACAAAAACCTGCCCTGGGCCTGGTCCAGCTCTAGTTCACACAGTGACACCACTGACCCCCCCTACATTAGTGGTCACTTCCTTGCCCCCAGTGCCCCCTCCCCCTATGACATGTCCACCTCCTGAACAGGCCCCGCCTCTTTACCAAACCACTCCCTTTGAAGAGGCCACACCCCTCATCATCCCCCCACTTGTAGTCCCGTCCACGCCCTCCCTCCTTCTCCCACCTGTCAGGCATGTCACGCCCCCAAGTCCTCACCTGTCCTGGGGGGCGTGTTCCGATGTAGAATTATACTCCCGGATTGGAGCATATCGATCATCCCGCCTCTCCAGTCTCTCCAGCCAATCACGAGTCATCCTGTTTGAACACTCATCGCTCTGAACTTTTTTATTGGTTCAAACAGCAGTGGGTCCAGTGGATGACATGAAATTCCCACTTAGGAACAATAATCAGAACTATGAACTCTTAATCTAGGTTATATAGAAATAAATGCTTCTCATTTAAAGTAATGTTTTGTTTTTCTTGCTTTTGAATCATTTTATTGTAGCTGTAATTAGCTCTTTCTTATCCATTTTAGATTATGCTATAACTAAGCATTCTCAGGATGATCTGTCACAAATGATGAGTTGCTAATTACTAGACATGTTCTTGTGGCTGTGGAGCAGGCGTTGGGACCATGTGGGTCGTGAGGGTTTTGTTGACGTTGAGTGTAGCTGCTGAGGGCTATTGATATTGTGATCAGGCAGTTTAAAAGTCTCACTTTTATAAACAAGAGCACTACATCGTCCATGATCCATGATGATTTGCTGAGTTTCATTGCACCCCACACACTTTTGTCTCATAGCTGCAGGTGTGAGAGGACAGCTGTCCATTGTTGGAGCACTCTCTGGTCTGTGATCCTCAGGTCAAGCTTTGATCTCAGAAAGACCTCTGTGCCCCGGGGTGTCCATGGAAACTACCTCTCCTGCCTCCATCTGTGCCACTGACCCAGGGAACAACGTTCTAACATGGTAGGCTCCAGGCGTTTTAAAGCACTTTCACAGTTTACATCTTAAAGTGCTTATGACTGCTTTTCAGGATTTTGTCCTCTTACTTTATTTGGTCACATAGTGCCTATAATAAATATTTATTTACAGTTTTACATCACTCAAGTTTCTTTCTGTGAAGAAAAAAGAATTAACGAAGTATTGCTGAGATCTAAAAATGTCTGTCACATTTTTATTTATTTTTTTTTCCATATCAGGGAACCTTTTTGTGCTGCAGGTAAAATTATAAACATCACAGAAACAGTTAAACTAGGCAGGATGTTTCAGCACATATAATCCTAATAATAATAGTATGTTTTAGTGAAATGAGTCTTCTAAGTCCTATGCACTTTAAAATGTACATGTACAGGTTATGTCATTAAGACCTCGTTTCTGAACATATGTATGTGCACCTTTATTGCCAACTGGGGTCACAAGGAGTCATATGCAGCCATTTAAAGCCATAGTCAAATGCATGCAAGTCAAGATGAAACAAAACACAACCCGTTTGTGGGCAGTAGCTTTATTCCAAGTTCATCATAATTTACAAACATGTCAAAATACATTGAGAGAATTTGAGTTTATCCAGGCACAATAAACATTCCTAAATCTACAAAACTGGCACAAAAAGCTTGAACCACCCACATTTGTCCCTGTGAAGGTCACTGTCTACTCTGTCGTGGTCAGTCTCTGCTCTGTCGTTGGTCAGTGTCTCTGCTCTGTCGTGGTCAGTGTCTCTGCTCTGTCGTGGTCAGTGTCTCTGCTCTGTCGTGGTCAGTGTCTGCTCTGTCGTGGTCAGTGTCTCTGCTCTGTCGTGGTCAGTGTCTCTGCTCTGTCGTGGTCAGTGTCTCTGCTCTGTCGTAGTCAGTGTCTGCTCTGTCGTGGTCAGTGTCTCTGCTCTGTCGTGGTCAGTGTCTCTGCTCTGTCGTGGTCAGTGTCTGCTCTGTCTGCTCTGTCGTGGTCAGTGTCTCTGCTCTGTCGTGGTCAGTGTCTGCTCTGTCGTGGTCAGTCTGTCCTGGTCAGTCTCTGCTCTGTCGTGGTCAGTGTCTCTGCTCTGTCCTGGTCAGTGTCTCTGCTCTGTCGTAGTCAGTGTCTCTGCTCTGTCGTGGTCAGTGTCTCTGCTCTGTCGTGGTCAGTCTCTGCTCTGTCGTGGTCAGTGTCTCTGTCGTGGTCAGTGTCTCTGCTCTGTCGTGGTCAGTGTCTCTGCTCTGTCGTGGTCAGTGTCTCTGCTCTGTCGTGGTCAGTCTCTGTCTCTGCTCTGTCGTGGTCAGTCTCTGCTCTGTCGTGTCAGTGTCTCTGCTCTGTCTGTCAGTGTCTGCTCTGTCGTGGTCAGTGTCTGCTCTGTCGTAGTCAGCGTCTCTGCTCTGTCATGGTCAGTGTCTCTGCTCTGTCGTGGTCAGTCTCTGCTCTGTCGTGGTCAGCGTCTCTGCTCTGTCGTGGTCAGCGTCTCTGCTCTGTCGTGGTCAGTGTCTCTGCTCTGTCGTGGTCAGCGTCTCTGCTCTGTTGTAGTCAGTGTCTGCTCTGTCGTGGTCAGTGTCTGCTCTGTTGTAGTCAGCGTCTCTGCTCTGTCGTGGTCAGCGTCTCTGCTCTGTTTGTAGTCAGTGTCTGCTCTGTCGTGGTCAGCGTCTCTGCTCTGTCGTGGTCAGTGTCTCTGCTCTGTCGTGGTCAGTGTCTCTGCTCTGTCGTGGTCAGTGTCTCTGCTCTGTCGTGGTCAGTGTCTGCTCTGTTGTAGTCAGTGTCTCTGCTCTGTCCTGGTCAGTGTCTCTGCTCTGTCGTGGTCAGTCTCTGCTCTGTTGTAGTCAGTGTCTGCTCTGTCGTGGTCAGTCTCTGCTCTGTTGTAGTCAGTGTCTGCTCTGTCGTGGTCAGTGTCTCTGCTCTGTCGTGGTCAGTGTCTCTGCTCTGTCGTGGTCAGTGTCTCTGCTCTGTCGTGGTCAGTGTCTCTGCTCTGTCGTGGTCAGTGTCTGCTCTGTCGTGGTCAGTGTCTGCTCTGTCGTGGTCAGCGTCTCTGCTCTGTCGTGGTCAGCGTCTCTGCTCTGTCGTGGTCAGCGTCTCTGCTCTGTTGTAATCAGCGTCTCTGCTCTGTCGTGGTCAGTGTCTGCTCTGTTGTAGTCAGTGTCTGCTCTGTCGTGGTCAGTGTCTCTGCTCTGTTGTCAGTCAGTGTCTGCTCTGTCGTGGTCAGTGTCTCTGCTCTGTTGTAGTCAGCGTCTCTGCTCTGTCGTGGTCAGCGTCTCTGCTCTGTCGTGGTCAGCGTCTCTGCTCTGTCGTGGTCAGTGTCTCTGCTCTGTTGTAGTCAGCGTCTCTGCTCTGTCGTGGTCAGTGTCTGCTCTGTTGTAGTCAGTGTCTGCTCTGTCGTGGTCAGTGTCTCTGCTCTGTCGTGGTCAGTGTCTCTGCTCTGTCGTGGTCAGCGTCTCTGCTCTGTTGTAGTCAGTGTCTCTGCTCTGTCGTGGTCAGTGTCTCTGCTCTGTCGTGGTCAGTGTCTCTGCTCTGTCGTGGTCAGTGTCTGCTCTGTTGTAGTCAGTGTCTCTGCTGTGTCGTGGTCAGTGTCTCTGCTCTGTCGTGGTCAGTCTCTGCTCTGTTGTAGTCAGTGTCTGCTCTGTCGTGGTCAGTGTCTCTGCTCTGTCGTGGTCAGTGTCTCTGCTCTGTCGTGGTCAGTGTCTCTGCTGTCGTGGTCAGTGTCTGCTCTGTCGTGGTCAGTCTCTGCTCTGTCGTGGTCAGTGTCTCTGCTCTGTCGTGGTCAGTGTCTCTGCTCTGTCGTGGTCAGTGTCTCTGCTCTGTTGTAGTCAGTGTCTGCTCTGAAGTGGACGATGTGTCAGGGTGCACAGTAACGGCAGTGCAGGATCTTGCTGAAGGCACGTCTGAAGTCCTTGTTGCAGAAGGCATAGATGAGGGGGTTGAGCAGGGAGTTGGAGTAGCCCAGCCAGTTGATAACGTCCTGTAGCCAGCGGGGCATGGAGCAGCGTTGGCAGAAAGGCATGACCAGGGCCACAATGAAGAAGGGCAGCCAGCACAGGATGAAGGTGCCCATGATCACTCCCAGGGTCTTGACAGCCTTCCTTTCTCGGGCAAGGGCCAGCTTCCTCTTGGCCTCGCTGCTCTGGCTGTGGGGCTGGAACAGTGGGCGGGGACTATGGAAGGGCAGGGGGTGGGGTTTGGAACCCGTCGCCTCCACGATCTCCAGAGACTCCTCGTCAGCAGGGGGCACTGTACTGTTGAGCGGCTCCACGCGGCTGCAGCTCCGTATGCAGTGTGAAGGTATAAGCCGGGGTGATGGAGCGGGCCGGGAGTCCGACACCTTGTTCCTCTCGGCTTTGCGTGCGCTCCTGCGGATGCGAAAGCGTGCTGCTTTGAATATTCGGCCATAAAGTACTAACATGAGGGCCAGGGGGATGTAGAAGGCCCCGAAGGTGGAGTACACCGTGTACCAGGGGTCCTGCCATATGCGACACTGGCGCGGGTTGGCACGGTCGTGGGCCAGGCTCCGCGGCTGGCTGCGCATGACCAGCATGGGAGGCACTGAGACCGAAAAGCTGACTAGCCAGGTGGTGCCGATGAGGGCGGCGGCACGGCGGGGGGTGCGGCGCAGGTGGTGCAGGGGTGTGACTATGGCCCAGTATCGATCCAGGGCGATGGCGCTCAGGTGCAGGATGGAGGAGGTACAGCACAGGACGTCCAGAGAAACAAAGACATGACAGACGAACGGGCCCAGGGTCCAGCGGTCCAACACCTGGTACAGAGCCGCCATGGGCAGCACCAGCACGGACACCATCAGGTCAGTGACAGCCAGAGAGCCAATCAGGAAGTTCCCCACGGTCTGCAAAGAGCGCTCCAGCACGATGGCCGCCACCACACAGGCATTTCCTATGATCGCACACAGGATCAGCGCCCCCAACAGGACAGACGTGACCACCTGATAACTCAGGTCCACCCCCTCCGGCTCTGGCCCCCAGGTGGCGTTCAGCACCATGCCGTCTGCAGCAGCACAGGCAGAGAAGTAGAGGAGCTCAAACCTAGCCCGCTTTATAAGCACAGATGAGTCCTGCCCATATGACATCAGCATTGTCTTTAGTGACATGTGAGGAGAGAGAGAGAGGCAGGGAGAGACGATAAGAGAGATGGAGGAAGGGGAGAAAGAGAGTAGGGCGAGAGTGAGAGTGAAAGCCATTCAAATTGATTCTTTATAAGGCCTTACGTGCTGCTGAATATGTAATAATCCGTCAAACACAGTCAACAAAAGAGACTTTTATATTTTGTTCCTGCTGTGTGATAACTATAACTAAGGCTACGGCTGTGGACACTTTGCTGTAGGATAAAAATTAAACCCTGATGCTAATCGGATCTGAAACTATTCAATAGAATCGGTACTGAAAAGAGTTAGATATAGTTTTACATTGGTCTAGCTCAGAGGTTTCTCGTTTTGGTCCAGGGCCGTATCCAACCTACTTTGATTCCAAAGGGGCTGGATCAGAAAACTCATGTCATATAAACCCCAAAAATAACAATAAGTTCAAATATTTGTGCAGAGAAAAACAAATCTATTACAGAAATTTTTTTAATTGATGAACTTTCTTTTACAAAATATTATAATATTATGAACAACCGGAAACTTTAAGAAAAATACAATTTCAACACAATGTTTTAACATGAACTTGAATGTAAATAGGAATAAGTCCATTTTTCTTGGAAAATCCTGCATTCCGCTCCACTTTTCTCATTTTTGACATATTTAAAATATTTTAGTAGAAAATCAGCCGAGGGACAGATTAAAGGTCTTGGAGGGCCGGATCCATATGTTTGACATGCCTGGTCTAACTCTATATCAGAACTAGCATCAGACCGTTGTAGCTGAATGTTTATGTATGCAGGTGTATGAAGCTCATATTTATACTGAAATATGACAACATGACTTTGCAGAAAGGTTTCCAAAGTGTACAATTTGTGAGAGCTTTAAATCTGTTTAGATTTAGCTTGTGTTTCGTCCTCTTCCTGTTTTGGTCAGCAGGTTAGACCAGTCTAACATGCTCCAGGAGTGCACAGAGCCAGTGCTGCAGGGGCCTCCTCAGGGGCCGTACTGTTGACTACCACCGTCTTACAACCACCTATCAAAGCACAAGCCCATACAGAGCCTTTTTTTGTGTGCTCCCAGTGTCAGACAGGAGCAGACAGCTGAAGGGGAAGAGAGACGAGTTCTCAGAGAGTTCAGAAGGTGCCCCACATTATCAGAACACCAGAGCTGCTGAAGAAACGCAAGAGTGTGTGCGGAGAAGAAGGTGGGAAGAACTTTAAGAAGAGTGAAAGAGAGTACAGGCAAGTTCAGAATGTTCACGTTGATCAGAGGCTGAAAGGTCTGAAGAGCAGTGAGGCAGAGGATAAGGATAAATTGTACTGTGCTATTGTGGTTTCACGTGGACTATGGCCCAAGAAGGAGGCAGGAGGGCAGCCATCTTGAGTCTGGCACAAGAAGAGCACCCAGAGGAGCAGGTAAGTGCTGTAAAAACACAAGAGCAATGTTCTAATAGTGTTTTGGGAATGGTTTGAGGTTGGCTTCACTGTCACATGTTGTTAATGTGTATTTAACAGCAGAACAAGAAAGAAGACAGCCACAAAGAGACTGGAGCAGAGGAGGAGAAGCTAAAGAGAGTGTGTGCAGGTGAGAGGTCAGCTCAATAATCACTGGTCCAGCTGTGTTTAAACAGTGTTCTGGATTAAAGGAACTGGATTAAAGTGAACCTGTGTCACCGGAGCCTTAACCTGCAAACATTTTCTCACTCCTGAACTAAAGCTGCATTGCTTTTATTTCAGAGATGTTATTCTAAATGACATTTTTTATAAGACACTTCTTCATTGCTTAGTCATAACATAAACTCTTCCCAGTCTGATCAGCTCATCAAAACAATTCTGTTTACTGCTTTTTATAAAGAAATACAATTAATATTATGCAGAATTGAGTTCAGCATTTCCTCCACAATATTTTTTTGTTTCTCATGTGGCCCCATGGAAAAAACACAAACTACATCATCATTTCAGATCAAGGATTTCAGATTTTATTTTTGTTTTCTTGCTCAGTTTGCTCCCAACATATACACATGGAAACAGCATCTGCATCTTAAAATGTGTTATAGTTTCATTGAAATCAACTTATATCCATATGGGACATGATAACTTCAAAGGCCATTATCTCTAAATGCACTTGACTCTCAGATAGACACAGACCACATTTGAAGTCCCACCTACAACTTTGCAATGTTGTACTGAATAACATATTGTCCAATAGTCCAATGAGGTTCATTTGATCTTCTGATAATTTATGTTATTAGGTTCCCAGACCGGGTCCAGACCGGGACTGAGACTGGTATAGTCCTAGTTTAGACCTGGTTTAGACCTGGTTCAGTTCTGACTTAGACCTGGTTTAGACCTGGTTTAGGTCCATATGCAGCGCAAAAGTCTGGCATTGCAGACCACGACTGACCAGGACTAGGACCAGGACTAGGACCAGACTGGGACCAGACCAGGACTGAGAGTGGGACCAGAATAAAAGAGAGGGGGACAGTGTCTGGTGTAGGTCCTGCTCTGTTGAGTTTATTCCGGTCTCTGTTCTGGCTCATGCTGGTATTGTATAATATCGGCTCGTTTCCCACAACAGTGAGTGTGTCCTCCATGTTGAATGAGAGTTTACATCTGTCTCAGCTTTATATGTCACTATCAGAACACGGCCTCTGATTGGTTTACATGACGTGAATATTCACAGAAAGTTCAAAATGTTCATTCCCTGTTGGGAGTTTGCACGTCAGTGCCAGTTTCACAAATTTGCGCCGCTCGTTTCGCCTTTACTTAGAGTTAACATGTAAATCATTTGCCTTGTTCGCGCCAGACGTGTTCGGTCTGAACACAACTTGAGGAACTCCAACATGTGTGAATGAAACAAAACACAATTCTAGGTCTGTTTTTGAGCGAGTAACAGCATTATAACATGGCTTAAAGCTCAATTTTGAGTAATATAGTACCTTTAAACGTGGCTCCAGCCATTTGATCAGATTTATATGTCCCTAATATGTGCAGCTTTGGACATGTTTATACATATTATACATCTTATTCTTATAGGCCAGTGAAAACATGACAGAATGACATTTATGTTTTTTTTTCTCCTCATCAGCTGTGGCTCTTTGCATTTATTAATGGTTCATGAACATGTTTTGTTTCTGTCGTGTGAGTGAAAGTGCGTACTGTTTTGGCAGACGGCTCCACATGGCATTGAGAGGGAGGAGCCAAGCCACGGTCTGAGCTGTTCTCTGTCTGTACGTGTACTACAGCCCCCTCTGCTGTCAACCCTGTGCTCATGTCTTCTGTGAGCCCTGTCTGCGCTGGCTCACCCACACCAGCTCCAGCCTGACCCCCTGCCCTCTGTGCCCACTGTGCCCGCTGTGAAGGACAGTCATCTGCAGCACCCGGCCCCACCTAGGTGAGCACCAGTCCACCCAGTAAACAGACATCAGGAAGATTTAGATTTAGATTTATTTATTGTCATTGTATGAAATACAACAAAACTTCAACAGAGCAGATCTGTAGCAGTAAAAATTAACAAATATACACACATCCTCACATCCATACCAATAAAAAACATTTAATAAATAAAATAAATAGATTATTGCACTGAGTCCCTTCAGGTCTTTTATCTGTGCCTGTGCCCCTGGAGCACGTCCACTGCTCGTGGATAGAAGCTGTTGCGCAGCCTGTTTGTGCGTGTGAGGGGAGTTTGAAGTCTTCCTGAGGGGAGAGTGTGGAAGAGGCAGTTCCTGGGGTGTGTGGGGTCCTGCAAAATGTTGGATGCCCGTGTGTGGAGACGTGAAGAGTAGATGGTGTCCAGGTTCGGGAGTGAGGAGCCCACCACCTTTTCAGCTGTTCTCACCACTCGCTGCAGGTCCTTCTTTTCAGCAGCTGTGCAGGCTCCGTACCATGATGTACAGCAGTACATCAGAACACTTTCGATGGTGCACAGGTAAAAGTTGGTTAGGAGCTTCTGGGAGAGGCCGTTCTGGCGGAGTGTTCATAGAAAAAACAGTCTCCGCTGGGCACGCATTATAATGCTGATGGTGTTTAGGCTCCAGGTTAGATCCTCACTGATCTCCACACCCAGGAACTTAAAGTTGGAGACTCTCTCTACTTCTTCTCCGTTGATGCAGAGGCCAATATGATGGGGAATGCATTTGTTTTTTCTAAAATTAATTATAATTTCTTTAGTTTTCTTTGTATTTAAGTGCAGGTCATTGTCTTTGCACCAGGAGATCAGTGTCAGGACCTCCTCCCTGTAAGCAGCTTCATCACTGTTTGTTACGAGCCCCACAATGGCTGTGTCATCAGCAAATTTGATGACAGTGTTGGAATTATGGTGTGCTACGCAGACATATGTGAAGAGGGAGTAGAGAGCTGGGCTCAGGACGCAGCCCTGAGGCAGACCTGTACTCACAGTGATGGTGGAGGACAAATGCTGGTCAGTTCTGACGTGTTGGCGTCTGTTGGAAGACGTCACATTCTTACACAGTTCACACACATATATACACGTTTCTTAAGCTCAGATCCCACCCACCACCACACCCACCAAATTATCGTGTGCCAAAAGTATAATAAAGTTTCAAATTATATCCAAATAATCCCATTTTCCTTCTTGATGCATAATAATTACATTAACAATAGTATGTGTGAAGAATCCTTCAGTCGTCCAGGTAGAATCCATGTCGAGGAGAAAATTCAGTTTGTCGACTGGACAAAAGTTAGTTTGGTTGAAGACGTTTCGCAGCTCATCCAAGCTGCTTCTTCAGTTCTGGTCAGACGCTAGTGGACACTTCCTTATATGTGTCTGCAGGGATGAGCTAACTACACTGAAACTCCTCTGAAACTAACACACCGACTTGTTTACAGTTTCTGTTAGTTAGTTCGGCCTTTTGACCTGCACAGGGTGTGAGGTCTTATGAGCAGAACAATTCATAACCCATAATGGAGCTTCCACACCTCTGGACCTGACCTGGATACACCTGTTGTTCTCTGGTTTGTTTTGAATTAGGTTTGAGGATGGAGTTGTAAATAGGAGGTAGATGGTGTCTGAGGCCTCCGTTTCTGTTTAGAGAAGGATTCTCTTTCTTAACAAAAATGGCTTCTTTCACTCCCCTCTCAAATCACTTCTTTTCTCTGGTTAAAATCTGTACCTCGCTGTCCTCAAATGAGTGGCCCGTGGCTTTTAAGTGGAGATGTACTGCAGACTGAGGTCCACTGCTGCTCTCTCTTCTGTGTTGGTACATCCTCTTGTGAAGTAGCTGTTTAGTTTCTCCAATGTAGCGTTCGCTGCAGCAGTACTGAAGGCTCAGCTGCATAAACAAGGTGTAGGAGTCCAATATATACAAATATTAATAAACTATCTTGTCTCGGTCTCTCTAATTTAACTCCAGAATGGCTCAGTATATGTGCAATTAATGTGAGTCAAAATAAAGATACTCATTTGTATGTAGTTTTCATAAAAAGTAGTGTTATTAAATTGTTATTGACTAAATATTGATGTCCACCCCAAGTCTGCTTGTTTACCCATGAAAGTCACCTCACACTCCTGCTGTATAGGAGCATTAGAGGAGCGAGTGCTCAGAAAATTCATATCCCTGCCCACATAACTGTAACATGTAAACTCAGAGGCATACATACTGTATTTTTCAGACTAAGGCACACTTAAAATCCTTTAATTTTCTCAAAAATCAACAGTCCACTTTATAATCCGGTGTGCCATATATATTATTTCTGACTGTGTTTACTGACCTCGAACTGATTTTATGTGATACACAGCGCTCAAAAATCTGTCAAAATGTTTTAGTATGACTTTGGTAAGTTACTAAGCTGCACTGCTTGATGGATTGTTGGAACATTACGGTTGCTGTAGTCAGGAACCTCATGGAGTAAAACACATTCACCAAGACAGAGAAGAAATGCCGGGCGAGTTACTCCATGATCTGCTGATGGATCGTGGACACCTGGGCTGAGTAGTAAAAGAGTTGAATAAAGTTTGATTTATCTGACTGTTTTGTTTCACTTAATGTGTCTTATAATCCGGTGCACCTTATAGTCCTAAAAATATGGTACAGACACAGTCTCAAATATGTTATACTCCATCATATTCAATTAATGAAAAACCTTAAGTAACAAGTATGAAGAGACAGGGCCCGCAGCATATACAGCGAACACTGAGTGCGCTAAACAACCACATTCAAATGGTCTTTGCTCCAGTCAGACCACTGTGCCCCATCTACAGCAGCTCGAAGAATCCAGCAGGTGTGAACGAGGGCGACGAGGCGTTTAGGGGCGTCACGTCATTTAGCATAAGCACCAAAACTTTGCAGCTTTAACAGCGAATAAAACTGTCCTGTTGATATGAGCTTATTGGAGCAAAATACGACAGTCCAACTGAAATACCGAAGCAGATTCATATAAAAGAGTTCAAATTTAACATAACTAAGTGTGTATAAAGTGTGACCACCGTGTGCAAACAGCATCAGACCCGCGTCTCTAATTCAAAGAAATGTCAAACAGGAGATTCGGGCTCAGCTTTACTGGTTCTATAAAACTGTAAATGGAAAATCATAAGGTATCTCATTTCGACAGGGCAGCATGAATCGATAGACATCATTGTCGATTTAGGCTGCAGGGAGCTCATTTCAGCAGAACACCGAGTTCTGAGAAATCCTTTTGAATTAAACTAGGCTGGTTATCCAGTTTCCTAGCATCCACGTAAACACAGTGACTGTCAACAGATTCATTTCTACTATTTAGAAATATGTTCTGTTTTCTCAGATTAAAATTAAATAATGAAAAAACTAAAAGGGTTTAAGACAGGGGTGTCAAACATATGGCCCAGGGGCTGGATCCAGCCCTCCAAGATCTTTAATCTGGCCCTTGGCTGATTTTCTACTAAAATATTTTAATTATATTTTGTATTAAAATATTGGTAATTTTCTGTGGTGTTTATCACAGCAGCATCTCCAGTGTCTCTGTACGTGGCCCCTCCCACCAGAGGAGCACAAATGAAGACTTGTCTCTTTCCAAACGCTCTTAAAGGACGATCGTTTTGACTGTTGACTGTGACACCCTCATCAGAAAAATGTCCAACATGAGAAAATTTACTTATTCCTATTTACATACAAGTTCATGTTAAAACTTTGTGTTCAAATTGTATTTTTCTTAAAGTTTCAGGTTGTTCATAATATTATAATATTTTGTAAAAGAAAGAGTTCATCAATTAAAAAAGATTTCTGTAATAGATTTGAGTTTCTCTGCACAAATATTTGAACTTATTGTTATTTTTGGGGTTTATATGACATGAGTTTTCTGATCCGACCCCTTTGGGATCAAAGCAGGTTGGATATGACCCCTGGACCAAAATGACTTTGACAATCCTGGTTTAAGGAACACAACAAAGGGCTAAACCACATTCAAATAAAGAACACAAGATAAATAAACAATCATGATTATTATTATGACTATATCCCTAACACCAGTGAGCAAACGTTCCATTTCCTATTATGCTCCTATTATTTGTTATTCTCCATGGCAGCTGTTTTTGCTAGATTGTACGGACTGTGAATTATGTGTTTAAGTATTCTTGACATAAATTTGATATTGTTGAAGCCTTAAAAATAAAAATCTTTGCTAGCAAAATAAATGTATTCAGAAAAGATGTGAAGGTGTGATGTTTCTGGACTGTGCCCAAGATCAAACAGAAACCCAAAACTACAACATAAGGACAAAGATAAAACAGGTGAAACAGGTCTTCCTCTTCCTCCTCACAGAACCTGCAGTAAGGCTCAGTAATTTTTATAAAACATGTTTATATGAAATATTCTTGAGTCTATTGTAGTATTATAAATAGTTTGAAAGTAACATTTCCATGAGATTGGGGCATTTATTTTGTCCACTTGTAAATGATTTTGTTTGTGTTTATACCAGTAAGACATTTAAGGTTTGTCATATGTGGGAGACAAACCAAAAGTTGTTTGTCATGTCCATACTCCTCACTGAAGCCATGACGTTGCCTGTATTGTTCTAAGACTCATGTGTCCTGCAGGAGCTCACAGAGGCGCAGTGCTGTGGCCCTCCCTCACCGACCGGGGCATCTGGCTCTCTGTGGCCCTGCTCATCGTGTGTGCCCACTGCATGAGATGGGCCCTCCTCACTCCGCTCCTCTCTGTCTTACTCTACTGTCTGTTTACAATGTGGAGGTGACTGCAGGAGAAAGGACCGGCTCAGCTCTGCACCTCACGGAGGTAAGAGTGGTTCTCTCGCTTAAGTCCTGGTTTCAGCAACTATTTGCAGATACCCGACCAGGTGCAGGACTCTGCTAAAGTCTTGTAACTTCTCCCTTCCTTCAGCGTGTTCAGAAGTCAAACTTTTTGTGTGAAGGTTACCTCTTCCTCTGCCTTTTTGGTGCGAGCCCAGGAAGCTTTGTTGGTGCAGAAGGTTTCGTTGACATTGTGGGTTTGTGAGAGTAAAAAAGCCCTCGTCCCGGTTTACAGAGTGTAAACCGGGACTAATTTTTTTCTGTCTTCTAAAATAATGTGTAAAATCAAATACTTTCAACTGTCTGTTTAATTAAAGGAGCCATGTGCTGGAGGATCTGGCACCTACTTGTCGCCATGGAGATTATATTACTTGGTTGTGGCGACTTTAGAGATATTATGTTGCCTGAAATGTTCCACATTAAGGCATTAAACTTGTCTGTCTCACATTTCTTCAGTTCCATGTGTTTTTATTGGTAAATAACATCTTGAAATTCATATATTTTTCACTGTGGCCACAGACATGACCACAGACATGATCTGTAACATCACTTATCACCTAACATGAGCATTTTGTATCAGTCATTTTTAAAGACAAAATCTGTAACAGTTTACGCCAAATTAAATAAAAGCCTGTGTTTGGTTTGTTTTGGTTGTGTGAGTGTGGATGTGAAGCCTGAGGCGTGTGCTGGCCTGGAGCAGGAATTCTTGAGAACAGCACACATCTGTTTTGAGTCGGTTTTAGAGAAGAGAGTTTCCCGTAAGGAGAAGACACTGGAGGTTGTGTAAGATTGGGAAATAAAAAGAAGTTCAAGAGTTTAAGAGCAGAGGAGAGAGAGAGGAGGAGAGAGAGAGCAGAGGAAGCAGAGTGGAGATCTTCACATGAGAGGAGCTCACGGAGGAGCCTGGACCACAGCACCGGTGAGTCCAACTCAACATCTCTACATTACAGGCGCTGTGAGGGAGAGTGAGCAGTTCAAGTGCCATGGTATGACAGGTTTTCATGTGTTTCTAATTCTGACTTGGTTTGGTGGTCAATATTTAGCATAGTTTTACATAATTTAAGTGGTAGTTTGTGGAAGAAAAGTTGAGGGGGAAAAAAGTACAAAAATAGAGGAAGAAGAGCTGAGTTCTACAACAGAATCCCCTTTCCTACGTCATCAACACAGAAAACTCCATCCAATGTTCACTCAAAGTATTTTCCTGATAATTTAACCCTTTCTGGCTGTGTTCACGTGAGACTTTCCAAAGTTTCATGGATGGAGTTACATTTTAAAATGTCGCCAGTTCAAGTTTGGTTCAAAGGACAGTTCAATGGGACGTTTGTCATCATTTTTGAATGGCCCTAGAATCCACATAGATTAATATTTGTTTCTACTTTCAAAACTCAGATCTCATCATCTACCTGTAATCTACTCATACATGTGCAAACGTTATAATATACATGGAATATTTTTTACATTATAAACCAATTTTACCTTAAAAGTACACCCCGAGTAAACAATAAAAAGTAGAAACATTACATATTTTCAAAATCTAAAGAGTGAAGTGGGAAGCTTCAGCTAAATTTGTTAGAGCATAGTATACGTCAGTAATTTATGGTGGGAAATTGAATGTGGATTATGTGTGAAAAAAAATGGCATTACCATTGACTTCCATTATAAACACATGTCATGACTAAAACATTATAATAAGATGAATTCCAACAGAAATCAAAACTAGTCTGCATGTTTTGGTCTGAAGGTATATATATACACACACACACACGCACACGCACACGCACACACACACGTATAGTCTAAATAAAGACCAAGAACTCTACAGGTCATTTTCAGAACATCCATTTTGGGGGGTCAGAAAATGAGTGGAGGCTCTTGGGGCTGTTATGTAGATGACTGAAGTAGTGGATCAACAGCCAAGATGAGGAGAAGGCTCAACTGATGGAGTAACTATGAGTATGGGGAAGGTGTCCGATGAAGAAACTGACAAGTTTGAAGCTATTGAGAAGACACAAAGTGGATATAGAAGAGCAAAGAAGAGACAAGGACAAAAGGAAAAAGAAAGCAGAGAGGAGGATTATTATTATTTTATATATATATTTTTTTCCAGTTTTCTTCAGGTGCACCTTTATAGAAAAATAGCCCTATAATGTAAAACACATGCATCAAATATATAAAGTTTGCACATGTTTGAGGAGAGTAGAGGTAGATGAAGAGATCTGAGTTTTGAAAGTAGAAAAAAAAATATGAATCTATTTGGATTTTTTTGACCATTTAAAAATGGGGATCCTCTAGAGTGACCAGACCAGAGGGTTAAACCTTTAACAAAGTAAAGGTGTTGTCTTTTATAGACAGGCCCTTGTTTACATCTGAGTTACTAGGAAATAGTTTTGGAATTACCTCTATGTCACATCTACTGCTTGTGTCCAACTGGGAAGTAACAATATAAACTTCACCATAAATGCACTTTAAAGGCACACTATGTAATTTTTCTGGAGGAGTGTCTACTATTTAAGAGTCTGCATGTTCCACAGGTATTGTTTAGCCTGGAATGGTAAACTCAACTTCAGTTTACTGTGATTGGGAAACCTCTCCACAGATCTGACCTGTAACTTGGCCTGGAGAGAGAGAAGGAGGTCAAGGAGAGGAGAAGAGGTCAAAGGAGAAATCTGGGCAGTGTCAGACTGGTCTGTGGACAAATCTGGAGATGTTGAGGAAAACAGCCTTTTCCTCTTGTGTTTGTTAGTTTCTGCTTAGATAAAAACAAAAAACAAAAAAACAAAAGGAAAAAAAACAAAACACTTGAAACAGAAATAAAGTCCGGACAATTTACTTATTCTAATATTAAAAAGTTATACTAGTACAAGGAGTCTGTGCTGACATTCCCGTGCACAGACTCAGTGTTTACACCTGTACAATGACTTTTATACACAAACTAGAGTGAAAGTCGACTGAGGTTTAGACTTAGAGCCTTTCCGTTGGTGCATGGACCAGTCAGGCCTTTTGGCACAGTGCACAGTCCAATCAGACTCCATCCTGGTGTTGTCTGGGTAACAAGTCATGACATCATCCCTCTCAGTAGTTCTTGTCCTATTAAGTGAGTTTACTATTAGAAACCCTGGACTATACTGCATTTGTCTTCACATACAGTACATCTATGAGTCTCACAGCTCTGATCTTCAAATGACCTCAGTACAATAATGAACTACAAAAATGGTTATACAAAATAGCTAAGGTAGTCTAGTTATTTATCCTAACAGAGACCTGCCACCAACACTGTACCTATGAGAGCCCACGCTCAGCCTGCCTGTGCTCCCCAGGACTGTGCTGTGTCTGCTCCATTGTCTTGTGAGCCTGAGCCTGGAGGATGTGGGGCTGTGGAGGCTGTGGAAGGGGCCTGCTGCTGCTGCTAGGCCTGGCCTGCTGTCTCTCTCTGTCTGAGGCCTGCTTCTGTGAGAAATACCCCTGGGGCCAGTGGTCCTCCTGCTCCAGGACCTGCAACTATGGCACCCGCACTCGGCACAGGTCAGCTGCAGCGGGGCCACAGCATGTTTTAGGAAGAACGTTTGGTGCAAATACTGAAATGCACTGGCTGCATACACTGTCATCTTAGTAAGAAGCTCCACACTTTGGTATCAGATTATCCCTCAGGTTACTCTAGACTTATTTGGACTCACATGGTTCATCTTAAAGCTGTTTTGACTTCCATTATAAACATTTCATTTTGGACAGACTAAACAGAGACAAGAGTGCATTAGACACATTTAATGCTTCGATCCCAGCAGGGGAGCGTTCAGAGGGGGTGAAGTCAAGGTACAGTGATGACTGATGTGATGGATGGGAGTATTGTCCTGTGAGGGCAAAGAGGGGGGGAGAACACAGTGCAGTTTATTTCTGATGTGCTGTCCTCAGGCAGGTGAACATGTGGGATGGATACTACTGGAAGTACAGTTGTCCACAGCGGTGTGTGTTCAGCGAGGCAGGTCCGTGTAACCAGCAGGCCTGTCCCATCAACTGTGAGCTCAGTGACTACACGGCCTGGTCCGAGTGCTCGCCCTGCGCCAAGAAACAGGTACAAAGCACCTCTATACCACACTGAACTCAGAGCACAGACACAGCAGGTACATGCATCAAGAATATATATATATATATGTGTGTATATGTGTGTGTATATATGTGTGTATGTATATATATATATATATATATATATATATATATATATATATATATATGTGTGTGTGTGTGTGTGTGTGTGTGTGTGTGTGTGTGTGTGTGTGTGTGTATATGTATATAATATATATATATATATATATATATATGTGTATGTATTACTTTGGTGACTAGTGGACTACATTCTGTGTGTGTCCCTTAGCTGCGCACGCGCTCAGTCCTGACCCCGGCTCAGTTCGGAGGAGCGCTCTGCAGTGACGTGCTGATGGAGGATCGGCCGTGTTATCCAGCCAAAGAGTGCAAACTGCCAGGACTCAGCTGCAAGGGCCTGTTCAAGTGTGAAAATGGTAAGATCTAATGTTAGCATAACCTTTTACTAAAGAATGAAGCATAGACTTCAGTATCATAATGTTATAAAAGTAAATAATACATAGACCATAATCCTTTGCTCTGTTTAAAGGGAGCAAAATGATTATTAGTTCTATGACGTCATTCGTCCATATTCTCAGAAGGAAAGCTTATATTTTTAAGCAATAGAAACCAAAGGTGGGGACTTGCAAACTGTGACTTGGACTCGAGTCAGACGTGAGTCTTGTAGAACTTGAGACTTGATTTGATAAAATAGACTAAGACTTGGGACTCAACTGGGACTTGAAGCTCAATGACTTGGGACTTGACTCAGACTTGAGCCCTGTGACTTGAAAAGACTTGATAATTATCCTAAAAAATATATATGATTTTACTGATAAATGTGGTGCTTAATTTTACAAGAACAAACTGGAACATCCCTCCCACTTCTGTATGGTACTTTGGATGAAACTGAAATACTGTGAGATGGTACCTCAAATGTACTACAGTAATATACAGTACAGTAATATACAGTACAATACAGTAATATACAGTACAATACAGTAAAACAGTGGGGAACATATAGATTCTATATGTTCTATCATGTTCTATATTATAGAACATGATCTTTTCATTTCATTACAGACTACATGATAAAATAACTGCACTTTAAATCTGAATTCTTTCTATTCTGGCTGTAATGATTCACACTGAGATCATAAGACATTTAAAAAGGAAAAAATTAGCATTTCTACAACTCTTATATAAATACTCATAAATAAATATACCATGACTTTTTAAGTACAGTTTAGTTTAAAATTCATATAAATTGCAGAAATCTGAGCTATATTTAGTACTTTGGTTTAAAGACTTGACATGACTTGAAGCTCAAAGCAGATGACTTAGACTTGACTTGGACTTGAGGTTAAAAACTTGAGACTTACTTGAGACTTGTACAACAGTGACTTGGTCCCATCTCTGACAGAAACACGTGTGAAGAGTAAATGCTAGACATATATGTTTAATGTCATACCAGGGAAAATTTCAGACAAAGCAAGAACATCTCCAAGGAGACAAGCAGGTACCGGACCCTCCACCCGAAAAGTTACACAATGCACCTTTAAGCAAAGCAAGAGCATCTCCATGGAGACAAGCAGATGGCAGACCCTCCACCTTATATCTTATGAAGTGTTCCTTATTGAAGTTAGTGAGCCAGCACAGTGTCTCTAAGGCCGGACTAAGCTGTCTCTGTGTGTGTGTGCGTGCGTGTGTGTGTGTGCGTGTATGTGTGTGTGTGTGTGTGTGCGTGTGCACACTGCAGGCCGCTGTATAAACCAGACCCTGACCTGTAACAGCCAGAACGACTGTGGAGACAACTCTGATGAGAGGGACTGTAGCTCCACCACCTCTGTGTGCCCACACCAGAACCTTCGCACTGTGCCCGCAGTAGACCTCATCGCCAATGGGTGAGATGCCACCTTACAGGGGCTCAATCACAAACCAGGCACGCTCCAGCCCTGGTCCAGGCCTATTTCAATCCTGGCCCATTGGACAGGATGGACAGAACAGTACTGTGTAAAATGGGATGATGAATGGGGAGGAACATTTGTCTGGTTTAGTTTTGGTAAATCTATTATTTATCCCGGCTCCGATTTGGTTTAGTCCTGGTTTGGGACTGATTTAATCCTGGTTCAGTCCTGGTTCAGTCCTGGTCTGTCTCTGCTTCAGTTCTGGTCCAGGCCTGGTTTAGTTCTGGTCCGGTCCTGGCTCAGTCCTGGTTCTGTCCCGGTTTTACTCCTGGTCTATTCCTGGTTCCTGGTTCAATCCTGCTTTGTCTCTGCAGGTGGGATGTCCTAGGGGACAGATCTCGAGGCGCTGTCTTGGACAATAACTTCATGGGTCCCCAGTGTGAGATCCGCAGACCTCCAAACACACTGCTGTACCACAGAGTTCCCCACAACCTCAACAGCTTTGAAATCAAGGCCAGTCACCTGCTTGTTCCTTCACACTGACCCACAGGAATTGAACTGACCAGACTCACAGTACACTGTCCAGATTCTAGTACTGACCAGACTCACAGTACACTGTCCAAATCTAGTACTGACCAGACTCACAGTACACTGTCCAAATCTAGTACTGACCAGACTCACAGTACACTGTCCAAATCTAGTACTGACCAGACTCACAGTACACTGTCCAAATCTAGTACTGACCAGACTCACAGTACACTGTCCAAATCTAGTACTGACCAGACTCACAGTACACTGTCCAAATCTAGTACATTATCCATTATTTCATTTTGGTTTTGAAGACAAATAATAAAGAAAGTAGTTTTTTTTTTTTTTTCTTATTTTTGGTTTTATTTTGAAAAACAAATAAATGAATGACACAAAGATTGTTTATAAGAGCATTTTCACACTCGTGTTGCTCACATGTGTAAGCGGTGCTTGAGGTGCTGTGAACACCCACACATGAGGCATGATATGAGGCCTTTAAAGGAGCTGTACATCTCTGTGAGGAGCAGGTGGTCACAGTGTGACCCTGTGTGTTTCCAGGCGGACAGGGAGGAGGACTTCTCAGCCAACCCTCAGCCCCTGCGCACAGAGGTCATCAACTTTAAATCCTCCCCTTTGTCGAGTAGTATGTCTGAGCAGAGGGACGGAAGTCCACTCTTCCTCTTCTTCTACTTCGGCCGAGGCTCCAGCTCTGCGAGCAGCTCCAAGAGGTTGGCTTTTGAGTCCTCCAAGAAGAAGGTATGTCCAAGCTCTCCTCACAACATGCCTCCTGAACTAGGCTCGATCCTAACCGTCCTATCTTACACAAAACAGATTCATGTAATAATGCTGTCAACCCCAAAAAAGCATTTAGAATGGAAAGAAGTGTCTTGCCCAAGGACTACAGATGTCACAATATCACATTTTATATTTATGACTGATGATATAACACAAACAGATCAAAATATAGAATAATAATGCATTCATTTTTTATAGAACTTTTCCAGACGCTCAAAGTCGCTTTACAATTGAATGTATTATTCATTTACTCCACACCTGGAGGTGGTAAGCTACTACTGAAGCCACAGTTGCCCTGGGGCAGACTGTCAGAAGCAAGTTCTGACCAGGCCCAGTCCTGCTCAGCATCTGAAATCTGACGAGATCAGGCTTTTACAGGAGGTTTGGCCAGTGACATCATTATTTTTCTTCTGATGAAATTGTGGCCATTCCATCATTAATATGACACATTATTTATATTGGAAATAATGGTTTTATGTGGATTTTGATGTTTTTAAACAAGATAATGGCTAATTAAAACACACACACAGGTAATGAGGAACATATCTGGACATGTCAATGTAAGCGCACAGCAGTACTGCTTAAAACCAGTTTGACATTACAACACTGCAACACAAGGTATGATGTATCCAGATGTTTTCATGAGACAAACATTGTAATAACAGCTCTAAACAAATGACTGTTGTTATCTTTATCAAGCCCAGAGCAGGAGTTCCTGGTGGGAGCTGGAGGGTCTTGACAGTTTCCGTGTCTGTGCTCAGAGCTCGCGCTTCTTCCGGGTGCACCAGGTCCTGCCGGTGGCAGACTTCTCTTTGCGTGCAGCCTCAGACCTGGTTTTGGCTCAGCCATTCTTGCAGTTCCTCCACGCCCTCCCTCTGCAGTACAACTACCCTCTGTACCGGGACATCTTCGTCCGCTTCGGCACGCACTACCTGGGCTCCGGAGTGGTGGGCGGACACTACGACCTGCTCTACCAGTTTAGTGAGGAGACGCTCAAGGCCTCCGGTAACATATCTAAATGGAATTGTGAGGTTGACCCATGTATAGAAATGCATCCCTAATGCCATCTGCAATACACCAAATGTGTCACTATAGACTCCCTCAGTGCTGTGGTGGTGACGTAAGAGTAAGTCCCACCTCTTATAATAACAAGTCTGATTTTGAACAGGGTTGGTTGGTTGGTTGACTCACAGACCTACTCTAAAAATACCTCGTGTGGGCAGTGCCAGGCAGTGCCAGGCAGTGCCAGGCAGTGCCAGGCAGTGCCAGGCAGTGCCAGGCAGTGCCAGGCAGTGCCAGGCAGTGCCAGGCAGTGCCAGGCAGTGCCAGGCAGTGCCAGGCAGTGGGTGACCTGTAGCTGTTGTTCCAGGGGAGTCTGATGAGACGTTCAAAGGCTGTGTGGGCAGTGAGACCTTCTTCACAGTCATCCTCTACTCCCAGTACAAGAGTGTGACACGCTGCAAGGATGAGAGCACCACCGAGAGGATGACAGGTACACAGCCACTCCCCCAACACAGCTCACACACCTGGACCTCACGTGTACACCAACACACCTGGACCTCACGTGTACACCAACACACCTGGACCTCACGTGTACACCAACACACCTGGACCTCACGTGTGCACCAACACAGCTCACACACCTGCACCTCACGTGTACACCATCTTTAATGTCTGTACACCTGCACTAGAAAAGGGCCATGGTCTAGTCTAAACAAAAGGTGCTATGTCGAGTGCCAACTTGTAATGCAGTACACCGCATAATGAAATCAGTTCTTCCTTTTCACATTTCCAACAAATCCTGAAAATTTCATCAAAATCGGTCCATAACTTTTTGAGTTATGTTGCTAACAGACAAACAAACAAACCAACAAACAGACAAACGCCGGCAAAAACATAACCTCCTTGGCGGAGGTAAAAATCCCACACACTGTCTTACTTACTAATTGTGAGATTTATTAGGACAAACCGTGCAACATTTCGGCACTAGGCCTTCATCAGGCAAACAGAATGAGAACTCAGGTGGCCATCTTAAATAGGGTGTGGCAAGCACCCAAGGGTGACAGGTCATAAAGAAACAGTGAGACAATCAACAATCAACATACAGTGTAATGATAATAATAATGAAACATTAATCATTAGTAGAAAAATCACTGAATAATAAAAGAAAAATCATAGAAAAATAAGTCCTCCTTGTAGGAAATTTAAAAAATCTAACTTAAATGATCCACCCACATTCAGTATCATATATGATAATCCACATTCACCAAAACAGGGAAGCAAGTTACACCACAATCTGCTGATGGATGGTGGACGCCTGGTCTAAGTATCAGTCTCAAATGTCGTCCGTTTGTTTCACTTAATGCTCCTTATAATCCAGTGTGACTTATGTATGAAAATAGATGATAGAATTCAACATTATTGATATTGTGCCTTATAATCCGGTGTGCCTTATAGTCTGAAAAATATTGGAATTAAATGCTTCTTACCATTCTAAAAGTATCATTCTGACCTTTGTGCACTAATAAATGAACAATAGTTGTGTAAATGTTTTATAGGCATCAAACTGTTCCCTCATCTATCTGTCTTTGTGTAAATGAATGTGATTTGTACCCAAGACCAGACCCCCACAGGAAAATATTGATTATGATTGATTAAATGAAATTAAATCATGATTAGTTTATCTTTTAGAAACACATTTGGTCTTGTAACTAAAACTCATTTGCTTTGGTCGTTAAAGACATTGTCAGAAAGAGTCTTCAGTGTAAATACTTCTGTTCCTTTTGCTTACTGATCTTGTGAGGAAGTAACAAATGCAGGTGACTGTGGAAGCAAATCAGATCAAGCACATGTGGCCACACCTCAGTAGGAGCCGTCACCTTCTCACTTTGAAATGTATGTCCTCTGGTCATCTCAGTCTGTGTAAACTTGGTGCTTTGTAATAGATTGTCTGTATTCCAAAAACTCATCGGGCTTCACAAATGGGTTAGTTATTTATCACCAAGAGATATGTATATTTTTTTCCTCAACAGACCCCTGGTATAGGGTTATTCTTCCCCCCACACAAAGGCAGGGCCGCTGCTCACAGTCGCGCCCCTTGTCTCGGAGCATATGTGATCTATGTGTCTGCATTTTACCTGATCCAGATGTCTGCATCTCTCTGGTATTCACATGTTAGTAACAGCAGCATTCATATATCGGGATACAAGCTTAAAGTAGTGCACATTGTTAAAGTGTGAATACCTAGTGTGAGTACCTGATATTTCCAGTGGTCTCTCCTGCACAGCTCGGCCCTGCTGAGCTTGTGAGATGAGAGGTCAGGGTTTAACAGAGAGACTTGTGGCTGTGCTCTGTTGCAGGGTCATACCTCCAGCGCTCAGAGGAGTCCTTCTCGATGGTGCGTGGGGGCCGGCTCCGTGAGGCCGCTCGTCTGAGCTGGGAGAAGGGTCAGGAGCCTCCCAACAAACAAGTGTACAGAGACTGGGCGCGCTCTGTGCTGGAGCAACCAGATGTGGTCGAGTACAAGGTGCACAAGAGGTTCTCTTTTGGTCTTTGGTGGTTATTGTTATTATTATTATTATCATCATCAGAGAGGAGGAGGAGCTCACCCGAGGGGGGGGGTCCATAAACTGAGAATGAGACAAATTGGATGTGTCCTCTGTCGGTTTGGTTTAGTACAGGACTAATTTTGGTTAATTCTATTTTTATTGTGTTGTGTGCCTCAGCTGCGGCCCCTGGTGGAGCTGGTGCGGGGCCTCCCCTGTGCGGTCACTAAGCGCAGACACCTGCGGAGGGCGCTGCTGCAGTATCTGGATGAGTTTGACCCGTGTAAGTGCTCTCCGTGTCCCAACAACGGGCAAGCTGTGCTGGAGGGCACCCAGTGTCTGTGTGTGTGTCAGACCGGCACCTACGGGGCCAACTGTGAGCTGAGGGCCCCTGACTTCACCTCAGGTACATGTACCACTGGTAATGCAAATCCTGTAAGATAACCTCAGTAACATTTTGTTGGAGTTAAAATTCAGGGGCACAGTAAACGTTGATTAAAAGTGCATTCTGAGAACAAAAAGCAGCTGCCATGAGCCTGGATTCACTGTAAAACAATCTGCTCGAAAGCAGCAGGGGCAGGATCTCATTTCTCTTTCCTCGCTTCCTTCTCCTCGATTTCTCTCCTCGATCCTCCATTTTTCAGCTGACATTAAATGTATTTAAAAAAAAAAAAAAAAGTTACAACACATTTATCTTAAAATAAAGGCATTAGTCTGATTTTGATTTGAAAGTCCTGAAATAGTCTTATAAAATAAAACTCAGTACAGTATAGTACAGTCATTATAGGTTTAGAACCAGCGCCTGAGGAAAGACTGCTGCCTCTGTCCTCTTTCCTCTCTCCTCTTTCCGCTCTCCTCTTTCTCTTTCCTCTCTCCTCTTTCTGCTCTCCTCTTTCCTCTCTCCTCTTTCCTCTCTTCTCTTTCCTCTTTTCTCTTTCCTCTCTTCTCTCCTCTTTCCTCTCTTCTCTTTCCCCTCTTCTCTTTATTCTCTTCTCTTTCCTCTCTCCTCTTTCCTCTCTTCTCTTCTCTTTTCTTTCCTCTCTCCTCTTTCCTCTTTTCTCTCTCCTCTTTCCTCTCTTCTCTTCTCTTTCCTCTCTTCTCTTTCCTCTCTTCTCTCCTCTTTCCTTTGCTCCTCTATGGTCTGGCATAATGGTATTCTATCTTAACATCATATTATTTATCATCTCTGGTGTTTGTGTGCAGAGGCAGTGGACGGCTCCTGGAGCTGCTGGGGCTCCTGGAGCAGCTGTGGAGCCTCCATGAGCCGGAAGAGGAGCCGGACGTGTGATAACCCCGCCCCTCTGAAGGGAGGCAAGCCCTGCCCCGGGCCCAGTCGCCAGGATGAGCCCTGCTTCATATCCATCTTTGAAAAGTAACATACAGCATCACTACAGCTTCACTACAGCATCACTACAGCTTCACTACAGCTTCACTACAGCTTCACTACAGCTTACAGCTTCACTACAGCTTCACTACAGCTTCACTACAGCTTACAGCTTCACTACATCACTACATCACTACAGCTTACAGCATCACTACAGCTTCACTACAGCTTCACTACAGCTTCACTACAGCTTCACTACAGCTTCACTACAGCTTCACTACAGCTTCACTACAGCTTCACTACAGCATCACTACAGCTCACTACAGCTTCACTACAGCATCACTACAGCTTCACTACAGCTTCACTACAGCTTCACTACAGCTTCACTACAGCTTCACTACATCACTACAGCTTCACTACATCACTACAGCTTCACTACATCACCACAGCTTCACTACATCACCACAGCTTCACTACATCACCACAGCTTCACTACAGCATCACTACAGCTTCACTACAGCTTCACTACAGCATCACTACAGCTTCACTACAGCTTCACTACATCACTACAGCTTCACTACAGCTTCACTACAGCTTCACTACATCACTACAGCTTCACTACATCACTACAGCTTCACTACAGCTTCACTACAGCTTCACTACAGCTTCACTACAGCTTCACTACAGCTTCACTACATCACTACAGCTTCACTACAGCATCACTACAGCTTCACTACAGCTTCACTACAGCATCACTACAGCTTCACTACATCACTACAGCTTCACTACATCACTACAGCTTCACTACAGCTTCACTACAGCATCACTACAGCTTCACTCACACAGCTTCACTACATCACTACAGCTTCACTACATCACTACAGCTTCACTACATCACTACAGCTTCACTACATCACTACAGCTTCACTACATCACTACAGCTTCACTACAGCTTCACTACAGCATCACTACAGCTTCACTACAGCTTCACTACATCACCACAGCATCACTACAGCTTCACTACATCACCACAGCTTCACTACATCACCACAGCTTCACTACATCACCACAGCTTCACTACAGCTTCACTTCATCACCACAGCTTCACTACATCACCACAGCTTCACTATACCTGAGACTTAACAGGACTATACACCATAGCTTCCATGGATAAAGTACACTGTGTTGTGCCCCAGTACACATGTTTTGTAAAAAGTGTTTTTATTGCCAGTAAATTTAGGAAGACTGCTGTTAGCATGCTAGTTGTTGTCAGTCTTACACTACAATTAATAGTTACAGCGTATAACTTGTTGCAGTAAATAATTATGAAGAAATCCTACTCATACCTCCTTTCACCGGTCCCTACTCCTACCCCCATCCTTCTTCCTATCACTTACTTCTCCTTTTCTTCTTCTATCCACTATATGTCCTAGTCCTGCTCCTAACTCCTAGAACTCCTCCTCTTACCTTCTTTCACATAGTTCTACTTCCTAGTCCAATTCCTATCTCAATGTCCTACTCCTTTGGTAAGCAAAGCTACGAAGTATTTCTTGTGTTGCTTGTCCTACCACCTAGTCCTCCTCCAGTCTCCTGCCTCATTGTTCCTAGTCCCATTTGTACCTCCAGCTCGTACTTTTATCTCTCAGTGATGCTCCTGCCTCGTGTCTCCTTGTGCTAACCCTATGTCCCATGATTTAGTCCCACTCCATCCACCTCATCCAACTTCTACCTCCATTTTCTGATCCCACCTCTATCATCATCTATCATCCCCCTACGTCTCCTACATCATATTACATAGTCCTAGTCTGACTGTACCTGTCCAGTCAAAAACTCACACTTTGACAAAACATTACAGAAGAGTGGATCTGAAGCTGTGTCCTGTCTCCCTGATTCCAGAGACGTGTCTGACTAAACAACACATAACACTGAGAAAGAGACGATTTCTGCTGAATCAACAATCGAAGCCCCAAACTGTTAATTATCTCAGATAAAATAAGTGATATATTTTGTTCTGAATGATAAGAGAATTTTGGAAAGGAGATGTCTTCTGCGTTTGAGAGACACACATAGTCCCACCACCTTGTTTAACATCTATGTCCAAGTGTTTTATGAAGTACCTCCTTGTCTAGTCTTGTTTTATCCAGTCTTATCCCTTCCTCATTCTTTCTACTCCTAATTCCAACTCCTTGTTCAACTCCTATGTCCTACTTTTATCTCTCTGGATCCATTAGGGTTTGGATGCTACGCATGTGTTGCTCATTTTGTTTTTCACTTCCTGTTTGTTGACGTCCCATTTCCTGCACAGACAGGAATCTTGTGATAATGATGATGACTTCACAGAGGGCTGGATAGATGACCTGCCTCCAGGGTTCAAGGGTTGCCTGCGCCCTAAGAGACCCGAGAACGGCTACCTGCGGGTGAGTACCTCCAGCTCCATGTACGGTCAGCATCAGGCCACACTGAACACCACGCTAATGATGAGGAGAGGATGAGGAGGCTGCTGTCTCTGCTGCTGTGGTGGAGACTTAGATAGAAAGATAAATCCTTTTTTTTGACTCATTATAAAATGACTTCTATATACTTTCAAAATGAACCCGTAGAGAAAGTATAGACCTAATGTATTTTATTTGGAATGTTTTGTAATTAATGAACTGATCATTGAAAACACAGTTATTGCACATAGGCTCAGTGGTTAACCTGAAGGGTGGAGGATCTATTCCTGCTGCCAAGTTGGGTGCTTAGGCAAGACACTTCACCCACCTTGCGTATAAAAGTGGCATGTGCCTGAGTGTTGGTCGTGGTCAGAGGGGCCTCTGTCAAAGTGCCGTGGTTTCCATAGATCTTTACCACCACCGAGAGTGAAGTGAATGAATAATGCACTGTAAAGGCACTTTATAAATCCAATGAACTGTTCTTATAAATATCTGGAAAAAGGAGTGAAGAGTCTCGCACGTCTGTGTGGAGATGTGAGGGTGAGATGAGGGAGCAGGCTGTGACTGTGGTAGAGTAGGGGCAGAGAGAGTGGGCAGAGAGAGTGGGCAGAGAGAGTGGGCAGAGAGAGTGGGCAGAGAGAGTGGGCAGAGAGAGTGGGCAGAGATAGTGGGCAGAGAGAGTGGGCAGAGAGAGTGGGCAGAGAGCAGAGAGAGTGGGCAGAGACGGTGAGTGGTTCTTTTTGGTCTACATAAACACAAACATAAGCTTTGTCTGTGCTCTGGGGCTCTTGGTGTTGACCTGAGAGTGTTCCTGCAGAAAGCCAAGCAGTATTATGAGTTTGGAGAGGACGAGGAGATGGTCTGCTTCACGGGCTTTGAGCTGGAGGGATACCAGTACTTCAACTGTCGTCCAGATGGATCCTGGGGCCCACTACTGGGACGCTGCATCAGTCAGTAACACACACGCTCACACCCACCAAGTCAGGTTCACTACTTTTTTTTTTTTTAAGTGATCTGTGATATAACTGGTACTACAGCCACAGCTTCAGCCTCTTTCATTTTCACTGCACAGTATCTGTGCTAAATATTAGGACATTAAATTTTACTCCAATATCACGACCAACACCAATACAATACATATAAACATATAGTACTGTCATAGTACTGTCATAGTACTGTCATAGTACTGTCATAGTACTGTCATAGTACTGTCATAGTACTGTCATAGTATTGACCTATTGTCCATCCATGCAAAGGCATCTGGGATCTCTCTCCTTGTTGTTGATGCTCTCTCTCTCTCTCTCCTTGTTGTTGATGGTCTCTCTCTCTCTCTCTCTCTCTCTCTCTCCTGGTTGCTGATGGTCTCTCTCTCTCTCCTGGTTGCTGATGGTCTCTCTCTCTTGGTTGCTGATGGTCTCTCTCTCTCTCTCTCTCTCTCTCTCCTGGTTGCTGACTGGTTGCTGACGGTCTCTCTCTCTCTCTCTCTCTCTCTCTCCTGGTTGCTGATGGTCTCTCTCTCTCTCTCCTGGTTGCTGATGGTCTCTCTCTCTCTCTCTCTCTCCTGGTTGCTGATGGTCTCTCTCTCTCTCTCCTGGTTGCTGATGGTCTCTCTCTCTCCTGGTTGCTGATGGTCTCTCTCTCCGTCTCGTCCTCTCAGGGCGGAGTTGTGAGCCCCCTGAGGTGCCTGAAGGGGTGCTGTTGTTCCCAGATAAACAGCAGTACCGTGTGGGGGAGTCTGTGGGCTTTAACTGTGTGGGCCCCGGCCTGAGCCCCCAGCCCCGAACCCGCCACAAGTGCAGCCCCAACCTGAGCTGGGAGCCCGCCCTCCCTCCGGACCTGCGCTGCACGGACGGTACCACACACACTGCTCACACACACTGCTCACACACACTGCTCACACACACTGCTCACACACACTGCTCACACACACACTGCTCACACACACACACACACTGCTCACACACACACTGCTCACACACACTGCTCACACACACACACACTGCTCACACACACACTGCTCACACACACACACACTGCTCACACACACACTGCTCACACACACTGCTCACTGCTCACACACACTGCTCACACTGCTCACACACACACTGCTCACACACACACACTGCTCACACACACACTGCTCACACACACTGCTCACAACAGAGCTCACACACACACTGCTCACAGCAGAGCTCACACACACTGCTCACTCACACTGCTCACACACACACTGCTCACACACACTGCTCACACAACAGAGCTCACACACACACTGCTCACAACAGAGCTCACACACACTGCTCACACACACTGCTCACACACACTGCTCACACACACTGCTCACAGCAGAGCTCACACAGCTCACAACAGAGCTCACACACACTGCTCACTCACACTGCTCACACACACACTGCTCACACACACTGCTCACACACTGCTCACACACACTGCTCACACACACACTTTTTCGATGGAGAGGTCCACAGCTAATCCTCTGTCAGGAAGAAAATGTGCTTGGAGCAGAGTTTATCAGAGGAAGAACTTTGACTTTTTTGACTTATTTTTCTTCTTAAATAGCAGATGTTAAAAGTCTGGATTATTTACGTTTAAGAAATGAATATTGAGCCTTGACATGATAAAGCTGTTAAAAATCATTCTTATTATGTTGTCATATTGCCCATTCCTATTCTAAACTAGTGTCACGATACTAAAATTTCAGACTGTAAAATTTCAGATACTAAGGAAGAAACTATCCAATACAGATTTAGATACCACTATGATAATGAAAACCTTCTTTAGACAACACAATATGATTTTCAAATGACTATCTAGAATCAATTAGTATCTTTTGACAACCTGTTTGTAAGCTCAGTCCACGGTGAGAGTGGTGGCCAGCGCTCTTTGGCCCCACATACTTATAATATTATTTTATACTGTTATGTTTTGGCCCCCGTGCTGTGTGCAGAGGACCCGTATGTCCCTGAGAGACGCTGTGGTCTCGGACAGAAGCTGCAGGATGACCAGTGTGTGTGCAGGGAGCGCCAGAGCTGCACGTGAGTCCACCCCATCTGCCCACTCCAGCTCTGATGCACATTATATCATTATATGCATTTAGCTGGCTCACTCCATGGTGTGAAGGAAGCTCTTTGAAGAAACAGAGTCCCTCTCTGAACACAAATGGTGGACTGAGGTTTAATAGACAGCTATTTACACAAGCCTCTTGTCGTGCTGTAATAGGACGAGCTCAAGCCAAACAAATGCTAATAACAGTTCACAGTACTGAAGGTGTGTTAGGCAAACAAAGGCACTTACACATTAAAAGCTTTGAGGACAATACTTATCACACACAGTGGAGTAGAAATGTATGTCTCAAACCAATACAACAAATGTAAAATGGCTTCAGGATGGAGCCGGAAAAAAAAAAACAAAACAAAAACAAAAACAAACAGTGTCCAGATGGCCATCATTTACACCTTACACACTAATGGTGTGACACTAGCTGACTGTGTAAAGTATATAGCATTTCTAATGATACTGTGTCCTGTGGTCAGGGCGTACGCGGCCAGTGTGTGTGTACTGAACACTGAAGCAGACGTGACCGTGCACATGTCTCTGTGCTCCTACCACACGGGTCGTTGCCATGGCGACCCCCTCTTCTACATCTCAGACAGTGAATGTGATGGCCTGGACCAAACCAAACTGGACTGGGCTCGCTTCAGAGCCAAGATGTCCTCCAAGAGCTCCATACATCAGAGCTGTGAACTGGACACATGCTACGAGTGGGAGAGGTGCACAGGTCAGTCCTGCTTTAGTCCTGATGTACACAGTACATAGTACATAGTACTTCTTTAGAAGTAGTTCAGTGCAGCTTTATTCCTGCTATGGTCCTGGTTTCATTCTGGTTCAGTTCTGGTTTAGTCCTGTTTCAGTCTCGGTCTATTGGACAAATCCAATCATTTGGCCCTGGTTTTGTTCTAGTGTAGTCTTAGCGTAGTCCTGGTTTTGTATTTGGCTCCTTCTTGTCTTTAGATGCTCAGATGCTCCACTCCAGGAGCACTTAGATCTGGTTAAACGGGTTGACGTTAGTATTTAGGCTCAGGTTAGCCAACTAGTGAAATGTCAAAGTTAGGATCATTGTTCAGGAAATGTTCCCAAAAGTAAAGCCATCATGTGTGTGTGGCAGCTTCAAAGAAGTGTGAGTGCAAGAAAGCCCGGGAGTGTCCATCAGATGCCCTCCCACTCTTCTGCGTCACCATCACTGTGCTCCAGATGAGTCGTCCCATGAGTCTGTGCGCCCTGGCCGCCATGCGCTGTGCTGGACACCAGCTGGAGGTCAATGAGGGTCCGTGTCCCTGAGAGCCCCTGTGACTGAGGGCCCCTGTGCCATTCAAATTCTTCAACATGGCATCTGAGTATGTATCTTTAAGGAAGATGAAGAACTGACTTCTTACATAATGTTGTTCCAAAAGTGCACTTTTTTCATCATGTTTAAATGTTTGAACATTTTAAATGTGTAAATATATTCACTCTATTAACTAACAATGTACTGAACTCATGTATTCAATAAATGAATAGGAAATATATCTGAAATAATCTGACAGTGGATTGTGACTTAAAAATAACCCAGAATAATCCTTTTAACTGTCAGGCCTGGTTTCATTTCTGTGTTCAGTCCTGTCAAAGTGTGAGCACAACATTACACAGATAAATGTCTCCCACAGAGATTATGTACAGACTATGATGGGGAAAAAACAGCTACTACAGCTCAGAGCAATCACTCATTTTTAGTTTGAAAGTTTAAAAGGTCCACCAGGTGTGAATCAAATCGCACAAATAATCATGTAGAAGTCACGTGATTTTGTGCACTTTAAGAAGAATTCTGTCTTTCTGTCATAAATGTATCTGTTTCTGAATTTGTTTTTGTGTCATAGCATCTTGTTTTGAGTGAGGCCATGAGTTTTGGCTCATTTTATGTTTAATTTGTCACTAGTCTTTCTTCACTTTAGATCACACTCACACACTACTGTTGTCTCTGAGAAACTATTAAACCACATTTAAACAACACACTTGTGTTTCGCTATTGCTAGCTGGTTTAGTCCTGGTTTAATCTGGGTTTAAACTTGGTCCAGTCCTGGTATAGTCTTGGTTCAGTCCTGGTTGCGTAGGACTAGGAAGGATTTAAAATGTAGACCTGGTTCACTCCTGATTTAAGGTGCACTCACTTTAAACCCAGGATAAATCTGGACTAGACCAGGACTAAACTAAAACTAGAACATATCCAAAGTCTACACCAGGAGCTGAACTGGGCTCAAACCAGGACCAAAAATAGGACATGTGCCAAAGTATTCTGGATTGATTATGATTCTTAATTCAGTCTGAGTCTAGTCCTGGTTCAGTCCTGGTTCAACTTCAGTGGACTAGTGATAGTAGTGGAGTGAATGAAGTGAGCTGGTGTTTGTTAATCATTGCCTGTGCAGTTCCTACGTGTCTCATTTGTAGTGAAAATAATAGAAGACAAATGTTTCCCTAAATGATCTTTTTAATAGTGAAACACACACATCTGATGCACTCATTTCATTTCATATCAAATATATTTACAACAAGACTATGTACAGCTCATCTCCTCTGTCAGTGATCAGGGCAGGCCTCGATGCCCATCACCTGGACCGTTTCTCCGGAGCACCTGCGGGCCCCGACCTCACACTCGCTGGTCGTCACAGCAACGTCACTGCCACCATATTTGGCACATAAGGGGGTGGAGTTTGGCGGGCATTCTGACACTCTCTGGCAAACACATTTGTCTGAGGATTCTGAAAAAGAAAAATAATATTTGGTCTATAAAGCAAATCATTACAGATCATATATTGTGACTTCTCCAGGCAACTAATATTTCATATTTTATTAAACGTCCATTGTGTAACTTAAATTCTGGTCAAATGCTTTTCTCCATGGATATGGAATCACAGTGTGGTATTAATCTGCATGGAGACCAAACCAGACCAAGTTACAGGTCAGATCTGTGGAGTGGCGGAGAATGCCTCTATTTTTAGGTATTCTTGACTTGTGTGTAAAATCCCTCAGGCGTCCAGGTAGAATCCATGGCAAAAGGAGAAATTCATTGTCAACTGGACAAAAGTTTATTTGGTCATTTCTCAGCTCATCCAAGCTGCTTCTTCAGGTGTGGTCAGACACTGGTGGACACTTCCTTATATCTACCGAGGGGAGGAACTAATTACACTGAAACTACTCTGAAACTAACACCCTACTTGTTTACACTGTCTGTTTGTTCACTAGGCCTATTGCCCTTGCAATGAACCCCACATGACCCCACACTCAGTGCAAGTGCAATAGGCCTAGTGAACAAACAGAAACTTTAAACAAGTAGGGTGTTCGTTTCAGAGTAGTTTGAGTGGAAGAGGGCAGGAGGAAGGAGGAAGGAGTGGGAGGAGGGATGAGGGAGTGAGAGAGTGCAGGGAGGAGGGAGGAGATAGTGGGAGAGTGCATGATGGAGGGTGGAGGGAGTGGGAGAGTACAGAGTGGAGGGTGGAGGGAGTGGGAGAAGGGTGGAGGGAGTGGGAGACTGCAGGGTGGAGGGTGGAGGGAGTGGGAGAGTGCAGGATGGAGGGAGTGGGAGGAGGGTGGAGGGAGTGGGAGAGTGCAGGATGGAGGGAGTGGGAGGAGGGTGGAGAGGAGTGGGAGGAGGGTGGAGGGAGTGGGAGAGTGAGGGTGGAGGAGTGGGAGGAGGGTGGAGGAGTGGGAGGAGGGTGGAGGGAGGTGGAGGAGGGTGGAGGGAGTGGGAGAGGAGGGTGGAGGGTGGAGGGAGTGGGAGAGTGCAGGGTGGAGGGTGGAGGAGGGTGGAGGGAGAGTGTGGAGGGTGGAGGGAGTGGGAGAGTGTAGGGTGGAGGGAGTGGGGAGTGAGGGTGGAGGGTGGAGGAGTGGGAGAGTGAGGGGTGAGGGTGGAGGGAGTGGGAGAGTGTAGGGTGGAGGGAGTGGGAGAGTGCAGGGTGGAGGGTGGAGGGAGTGGGAGAGGGCACAGGTCTGTATCGAGGTCACTGACCGTCGCAGCGGGTCCCAGGCACACAGGCTTTGCACGACGGCTCCTCCCACGTGCACTGTTGGTCTGAGACCAGAGTGAACCTCCGTCCCCAAACAGCGCAGCGCCCCCAGCTGGCACACCCCCAGAGTGCGGTTCCACAGACCCAGGTCAGCACACAGGGGCAGCGATGGCCTGGACACACGACACGACACTACTGAAGAAGTGTTCAACCAAACTGACCAACATTTACTGCTACTAACTAGAGCCCTGCAATCCCGCGGGACCGGATGCAAAACACATTTTGAAAGCTCACTGTGGGCACGGGCGGTAGCGGGACTAGACAATGCGGGAGCGGGTGGATGGGATGATAAACTGCAGTCCCGCAAACTAAATATGAGTGTAAAAACAAACTTGAATGAAAAATGATTCATGTTTGCCGATCATACATCATTTGGTATTAATAAAAACATTTTAAGCAGACGGAACTTACGGACATGGTCTAATCTAGAGCACATTTTAGACAATTACTTTCCACTTAAGCTTAAGAAAACCAATGTTCCCATCTTGCGGAATTTGCGGGCAGGAACAGAACAAAATATAGCAGATGTGGGAATTAAAATTACAATTCTTTGCGGGCAGGAGCTGGATTGAAAATTCTGTCCAGCGCACACCTCTACTTCTAACCCTGGTGTAAAGCTGTTTGCACATTCAAAAAGAACTGTAGTTGTATTAATTTGCATTTTGTAAGGTCTGACACTGTTTGCAGACTACCCAATGTCCTCATAATCCAGGAGCTTCTCTGTGTTTTTAAAGTCCATTCACCTTCACTAGACTCACTCTTATCATTTTAGCCATTTAAACGTCTTTACTGCTAACTGGGAGAGCAGATGTACAAGGATTTCCATGTATTAAAGAGGTGTGCTTTCCCTCCTCTTGTGTGTTCAAGGGTGGTACTCACGGGCACTGAGCGGGCATCTTGCAAACACAGCCTCTGCGTCCAGGGTTCTCCCACAGCGCACAGAGCAGTCCAGAGGGAGGAGTGGGGGCAGAGGGCACTGAGGGCACAGCCGGAGCACAGGTCACAATACAGGTCAGAAAACATTGAGAAAACAAGCCAAAACTTACTTGAGTATATGTGTTTTAAAGGAAATAAGCAGTCTGTAGCATAGAGCTCAACCCTTCCAGAACTACATTTCTCATTCATTTACAGATAAATAAAAATAGAGAAATAAAAGTGTGAAAACTCAGGGATAATCAGCTCTGTAAAACGAATAAGTACAAGACGTATACTTTTATTTCAAATCTGTTTCTGAAACTTTATAAACTGCAAAACATTTCGCAGAATCTTGTGTTTTACATAAAATTACTTAAATCAGCCGCATTATGGATATTCGGTAGCCTCCACGATGCATTTGAACAGCTGTAATGTTGATTTATTCACAGTTCCAATCAGAATGACTGCAATGTGTCATTTGTGTGGATTGGAAACATCATATAATTAACTTGCATTTGTTTTTAGAGGGTTCAAACTTCATTTCATTGCTGTGGAAAAGATTCAATAGTAATGAATAAAAATAAAACTGTGTCATTTTGTACTTCTGAGTACTACTCACGGAGCTCCAGATTTGTACTACGTGTTGTCAGTACTGATACTTGTACAAATATATCTCTATTTGGATGTTACTGTAGTTTTAGTATTGATTCTGATTATTGTATAGATTTTGCTTGTCGTCTGTGTGTACCTGATTTGCAGCGAGTGTCCTCGGGGGAGGGGGACCACTGCAGGCTGGAGCTGCATGTGCTCTGAGACACTTCCCCTTCCAGGAGCAGGCCTGGGGGACACGACAGAGACACACTGTCCCCCATCTCATAGCTCTGCTTCAGGGGAGAGGCGTTGACATTAGGCTGGAGCTGTGGAGCCGCACACATGGACACTGAAGAGAGAGACATGAGGTGAGACAGAGCACACTGAGACCATTGGTATATACAGTATATATTGAGTTTCACAGTTTTGAATGCTGCGTTACAGAGTTCAACTATGGGTTCAAATAGGTTACGGTTAGTGTTTAGGTTAAAATGAGTCTCCAGGAAACGAATGGGAGTCAAAGCATTGAAACCCAACATTTGTGTGTACTTGATTCGTTCTACACACTGGTGTAAAGGTCTGACAGACGTGCAGTGTAGTCATCCAACCAAAGACATGCTTCTACTGTTGTGCTTCATGTTACTGTCCACTCCTGTACTTTTGTATTAATAAAAATCATATTCAGAGGTGGGACTAAGTCGTTGTTTTGCAAATCTCAAGTAAGTCTCAAGTCTGTGACCTCAAGTCCGAGTCAAGTCCCAAGTCAAAGATAGGCAAGTCCATGTCGAGTCTCAAGTCACTGGCCCATAAGTGTAAGTCAAGTCCAAGTCCAAAGAGTGTGAATCATTACAGTCAGAATTGAAAGACTGAAAAGAGTTTAATAACAGTTATTTTATCATGTAGTCTGCACTGAAATTCAAGGATCATGTTCTATGTAGTGCCCTCTGTTTACTGTATTGTACTGTATATTACTGCATTGTACTGTATATTACTGTAGTATATTTGAGGATACCGTCTCACAGTATTTCAGTTACAGAACTAGAAATAGAAGTGGGAAGGACATGTTCCAGTTTGTTTGCATTTATCAACTGTAAAGAGAAAAGTATTTTCTTAAATCATATATTATATTATATATATTTTTTAGCAAAAGCGTCAAGTCTTCTCACGTCACAGGCCTAAAGTTTGAGTCAAGTCGAAAATCATTGACCTTCAAGTCCAAATCAAGTATCAAATCTTAGTCCATTTTATCAAGTCAAGTCTCAAGTCCTAAAAAGTGTGACTTAAGTCTGACTCGAGTCCAAGTCACGACTTGCAAGTCCCCAGCTCTGGTAATATTATTTTGAAGTAGCTTTACATTTACTTGAGTACAATTCTCAAGGCTGCATACACAGCGCCACCTACAGTCAAGCCCGGTAAAGTGTGTGTGCGTGTGTGGGTGTGTGTGTGCTTGTGTGTATGTGTGTGTGTGAGTATGATTGTGCGTGTGTGTTTGTGTGTGTGTGTGTGTGTTGGTGTGCTTGTGTGTGTGTGTGTATTTGTGTGTGCCGGGGTGTGTGGGTGCTTGTGTGTGTGTGTGTGTGTGCCAGGGTGTGTGTGCTTGTATGTATGTGTGTGTCACGGTGTATGTGTGTGTTTGTGTGTGTTTGTGTGTATGTGTGTGTGTGCTCATGTGTGTGTGTTTTTGTTTGTATGAGTGTTTGCTTGTGTGTATCTGAGCGTGTTTTTGTGTGTATGTGTGTGTGTGCTTGTGTGTGTGTGTTTGTGTGTATGAGCGTGTGCTTGTGTGTGTGTGCTTTTGTTTGTATGAGTGTTTGTTTGTGTGTATGTGAGCGTGTTTTTGTGTGTATGTGTGTGTGTTTGTGTGTGTGTATTTTTGTGTGTATGTGTGTGTGTGTGTGTATGTGTGTGTGTGTGCTCGTGTGTGTGTTTTTGTTAGGGGTGTCAAATTATCGCGTTAATTGCGATTAATTAATTACAGTCATATTTAGCGCGTTATGTTTTTTAATCGCGTTAATCTAATTTTTAATCTCTAACTTTAGTGTTTCTGTATGTGAGTTTCTTTATTATAAAACCTGTTTTTATGTGTTGTTGGGACAACAACACACACACACACACAAAACACATTTATACATTTTTTTATTTCGGTAATTCCACTCATTGCCGGAAAGCCACACAAAACGCGCGCAGTAACAGCGATGTAAACGTCATGTTAACGTTGGCGGCATCAGTCGCACAATGGACGAGGTCGAAGAGCCAGTAGAACAGAGGCAGCAGCGCACAGGTAAAAACACATTCGTGTCTTGGAAATTATTCTCCCGACGTGAAATATAAAAGAAAATAACAAATATAATATCGCCTGAAAACAACCTGCATAGGCTCATGATGTCTGCACTACTGTCCTATAGTGACCTGCCACATGAGGGGACACGCACACAAACACACACACAAACACAAACAAACACACACCTTCATCATCGTCATCAACCTCAGAACGCGCGGACCACGTTTCCTTCCGTAGACACTGCGCGGACACCGACGTGCTCCCGTGAGCCGCGTGTGGACCGTGTTTTCTCGCGTATGCGGCGTAAACCGAGCTTCCTCCTGTGAACCTCTAAACCAGAACTAACACCAAGACTAAAACCAGGTCTAAACCAGGTCTAAACCAGAACTAAACCAGGACTAAACCAGAACTAAAACCAGAACTAAAACCAGGACTAATCCAGGACTAACACCAGGACTAAAACCAGGATTAATCCATTCCAGGACTAAACTAGGACTAAGGTAGGTCTAAACCAGGTCTAAACCAGGACTAAAACCAGTGATCTCATATATATTTCTCTATCAATAATATTTTTAATATGGTTAAGGAAAGACTGGACTTTTTATTGTCTTTAAGTAGACAAAAGTTATTATGTTCAGATTTCCTCGTCTTTGCTACTTTACAGCAAAGCAAGTTTCTTATTCATGGAGACTTGGGCTCAACAGACAATTTGGGGAGATTTGTTAAACAATAAATGACTTTATAAAGTCACTTTTTTAAATCTATATCAGTCTTTTGATCTGCCACAATAATGTAATAATGAATTTAAATGAAAATACCTCAAATTGAAGGCTTTTCTCAGCAATTTTTAGGTGAGATTAAAATGAGATTAATTAGATTAATTAATTACAGATCATAATTAATTAATCTCTCAATTTTTTTAATTGCATGACAGCACTAGTTTTTGTGTGTATGTGTGTGTGCTTGTGTGTGTGTTTTTGTGTGTATGCGTGTGTGCTTGTGTGTGTGTGTTTTTGTGTGTATGAGTGTGTGCTTGTGTGTATGTGTGTGTTTTTGTGTGTATGTGTGTGCTTGTGTGTGTTTGTGTGTATGAGTGTGTGCTTGTGTGTATGTGTGTGTTTTTGTGTGTATGAGTGTGTGCTTGTGTGTATGTGTGTGTATGAGTGTATGAGTGTGTGCTTGTGTGTATGTGTGTGTTTGTGTGTATGAGTGTGTGCTTGTGTGTATGTGTGTGTTTGTGTGTATGAGTGTGTGCTTGTGTGTATGTGTGTGTTTGTGTGTATGAGTGTATGAGTGTGTGCTTGTGTGTATGTGTGTGTTTGTGTGTATGAGTGTGTGCTTGTGTGTATGTGTGTATTTGTGTGTGTTTGTGTGTATGAGTGTGTGCTTGTGTGTATGTGTGTGTGCTTGTGTGTATGTGTGTGTATGTGTGTGTTTGTGTGTATGAGTGTGTGCTTGTGTGTATGAGTGTGTGCTTGTGTGTATGAGTGTGTGCTTGTGTGTATGAGTGTGTGCTTGTGTGTATGTGTGTGTTTGTGTGTATGAGTGTGTGCTTGTGTGTATGTGTGTGTTTGTGTGTATGAGTGTGTGCTTGTGTGTATGTGTGTGTATGTGTGTGTTTGTGTGTATGAGTGTGTGCTTGTGTGTATGTGTGTGTGTGTGTATGTGTGTGTTTGTGTGTATGAGTGTGTGCTTGTGTGTATGTGTGTGTTTGTGTGTATGAGTGTATGAGTGTGTGCTTGTGTGTATGAGTGTGTGCTTGTGTGTATGTGTGTGTTTGTGTGTATGAGTGTGTGCTTGTGTGTATGTGTGTGTATGTGTGTGTTTGTGTGTATGAGTGTGTGCTGTGTGTGTGTATGTGTGTGTATGTGTGTGTTTGTGTGTATGAGTGTGTGCTTGTGTGTATGTGTGTGTATGTGTGTGTTTGTGTGTATGAGTGTGTGCTTGTGTGTATGTGTGTGTATGTGTGTGTTTGTGTGTATGAGTGTGTGCTTGTGTGTATGTGTGTGTATGAGTGTGTGCTTGTGTGTATGTGTGTGTTGTGTGTGTTTGTGTGTATGAGTGTGTGTGTGTGTGTGTGTGCTTGTGTGTATGTGTGTGTTTGTGTGTATGAGTGTGTGCTTGTGTGTATGTGTGTGTTTGTGTGTGCTTGTGTGTATGAGTGTGTGCTTGTGTGTATGTGTGTGTATGTGTGTGTTTGTGTGTATGTGTGTGTGCTTGTGTGTATGAGTGTGTGCTTGTGTGTATGTGTGTGTTTGTGTGTATGAGTGTGTGCTTGTGTGTATGTGTGTGTATGTGTGTGTTTGTGTGTATGAGTGTGTGCTTGTGTGTATGAGTGTGTGTGTGTGTGTTTGTGTGTATGAGTGTGTGCTTGTGTGTATGTGTGTGTATGTGTGTGTTTGTGTGTATGAGTGTGTGCTTGTGTGTATAATGGCCTCTGACCTTCACAGCTCCTCGTCCCTGTGCTCCACGTCTGCTGCTCCGTGCACGTGGTCACGGCGCCGCCCTGGAGGTGATAGCCGTGGATGCAGGAGAACTCCACCCTGACCCCGACCACGTACATGTCCCTGGGGTCCTGACACATGAGGAGACACAGATCAGGTCGTCATACTCCAGAGCTTCAGATGAATACGACACTATCTGACTACTTACACACAACTGTTACTGGCTTCAATAGATTTTGGATTAGCTCAAGTGAAGAACGATGTAAACAAAATGTCCAGACATTCCATACAATCCTGTGGATACAGTGCACACACACCGCTGCACTGACACACACACACACACACCACTGCACTGACACACACACACACACACACACACACACACACACACTGCAGCACTGACACACACACCGCTGCACTGACACACACACCGCTGCACTGACACACACACCGCTGCACTGACACACACACCGCTGCACTGACACACACACACACACACACACACACCGCTGCACTGACACACACACACACACACACACCGCTGCACTGACACACACACACACACACCGCTGCTCTGACACACACACCGCTGCACTGACACACACACCACTGCACTGACACACACACCACTGCACTGACACACACACCACTGCACTGACACACACACACACACACACACCGCTGCACTGACACACACACACCGCTGCACTGACACACACACACACACACACACACCGCTGCACTGACACACACACACACACACACTGCGGCACTGACACACACACCGCTGCACTGACACACACACACACACACCGCTGCACTGACACACACACACACACACACACACACACTGCGGCACTGACACACACACCGCTGCACTGACACACACACCGCTGCACTGACACACACACCACTGCACTGACACACACACACACCACTGCACTGACACACACACCACTGCACTGACACACACACATCACTGCACTGATACACACACATCAGTGATACACACACACACCACTCAATCGATGGTGTCTTGGTCGACTAAAATGTGTCTTTTTTATGTGTGGTTTATGTTCATACCAGAGGAAAGGAAAAGAGAAAGGAAAGAGTGGACGAGATGAAGATTTTGGAGTGTGTTTAGTCTGCCATTCATTACACACACGCACGCACACATTTAACTAAAACTTTGGAGTATAGGCCTAAACTCTCCTGATACACACAGCATTCTCCAGTCATGTTTTGTTTCATTCACACATTTGAGTAACCCTTTATTGCTAGTCTGTCTACATCTGAAAAGCTCAAAATGCTCTGTTTCACCTTGTGATGTCATGGTGCAGTAGTTTTCAAGTTACAAGTTAGAGCTACAGCTCCTTTTACCTTTAGTTCAATAGAGATTGGCAATTCCAGCGCTGAAGCAAAGGTGTATGGAGTTCAAAAACACAGTGAACTCAGCCTGAATGTGCAGGGTTTGTGTGTCAAACATGTGTGAATGAAACAAAACATAACTCCACATCTGTTTGTGATGAGGAAACATTAGAACAGAGACCAACAATAAGCACAGAGTTGTTCTTTCCATGTTCCAGAGACAGTTTGATTGACTGACCCGCACAAAGCCGTTGGGGAGAGGGGGAGGAGGGGGGCACGTCTTTGGGGGGGGCACAGACAGACCCAAACACTGGGGCTCCATCAGCCTGCAACACACACAGCAGCCACACAACACAAGGACAACACAAGGTCACACAGATTTAGGCAGAATTCAACTCAAATAAATGACTGGGATTAGAAATGTGTACTGACTTGAGGTACTCCATGTCCGGGTCCTCACATGTCCCCCGTTCCACACTGGCCCCGGTGCACTGTGCCCCTCCTCCTCTGGGGGCGGGGTTAGTGCAGCTTCGAGAGCGTGACCTCTGACCTCCAGAGCAGGAACTCCATGGCGACCAGCAGCTCCAGCCCCCGTGAACCACTCCTGACCAGGACACATGCACAGGAACATTCACACACAGGGTACACAGCTCCTGCTTTGTAGACGCTGTGTGCATGTGTGTACAAAGACAAATCCAATGTCCAAATCCAAAATGGACACTGTGATTATCATGACAGGCCTGGACACGTCTTTAAACAGAAATCCATAATGTACTGAATGTGTAGAATAAGAACCATGAGTGTGTCTCACCAGGCTGCTCTCCTATGACAGTCCCCTTCTCACAAGCGGCTCCGGACGTCCCAGGTCTGCACACGCAGGTGCACTGGGCCCCTGACAGGAAAGGGGCCCCATTATTGTGACAGGGCCTGCAGTGACAGGGATCCTGCTCAGAGAGGAACTGCTCCAGCGCCTGTCGGAGGTAGAGCTTCTTCAGGCCGGAGCACGGCACCTCCTTCACCAACTCGTACAGGGGCCTCAGCTGTACACAGAGCAGAGTCAGAGAGTGAAAGCCTCAATACAAACTCTTTAGTTGGTGAGAACGGTGCAGAGGGAAGCACTGCACTGTGTGCCTTTGTTGACAGGGAAGATGTCTGTGTTTTTCTCTCAAGTGGATGTAACAAAAGTTGTTGTGGCACTTTGACCAATCAGATTACAGTCTTAATTTGAACGTCCTGAATGTGTAAAACTGAGAGTGACACAGCTCAACCTGCATGAGCCTGGTTATCTTCATAACATTTTCAGGATTTCAGATTAAAATGGCAAACAATAAAACTGTTATCGTCTATTGGAGTATGTTGAATCGTGATTTAAGCACTGAAAACTTTGAATGATCAGCTTGAGTCTTTTTAATGGACTTAAGTCATTTGTTGTCAATGTTTGTCTCATTTATGTTCTTATTATAGAAACACATTTTTAAATATGATCTATATGAGGTAAATAAGATCTTAATACTTGATTATTTTTCTCCATGTTACATCAACACCTCCATTCTTCACCTCTCTACCGGCCTGTCCACTGTTATGTATCCAGCTTTATATTCACTGCTCCTCGCTCATGTGTAGAAGACAGAACTCATCACGGAGTGTTTGGGGCTGTACCTTGGGCTCAATGAGCGCAGGGAAGTCTTGCACAGAAGCTGCCCAGTTGTCGTAATGCTCTCCGTTCCGTTCAGGACTCTCCAGATCGAGAACTGACAGGGCCCCGATCAGGGACACGTCTCCCCCAACAATGTTCACTTTGATGGGCATGCTGCTGCGCTGGAACCCTGCACACAAGCACCCACACACCACATTCTACCAGCTGCCAGTCAAATACAACTTACAATGTAACATATTCTCCAACATCTATATTTGTGAAACCTGATTAATAATAGAAAATGAATAATAGAGAATATGTTCACAATAGAGATGGGCCATTTCTTGGCTCGGCTCGTGTATATACTGTACTTGCACTTTCAGCTTATCAGCTGTAGGCAACATATCTGCAGGCTTTATCATGTTTGAGTCAGCAGCTGCCTAATACTCTGTATAAGGCTTTATGAATGCATGAGTGCAAAGAGTGGACTGCACTAATGTGACTGCTCATGGCTCTCATCCAGTTTGTAGTGTAATAGACAAACACATCAGGTCCTGTTCTACGCTCTGTTCCCTGTGTCACTGCTGATGCACTCACTTCTATCTGTACCTGACCTTGGCATTTCTCTGTATAAAATTCCAGTCTGAGAGCGCTCCCTTCTGGGCATCACAGAACCACCATTGTTGTTTCTGTGTCTCTCTTTTGCAAGAGATAAAAACTACAAAGACAACTCAAGACCACTTACTTCATTCTCACTCAATTATACTACAACCTTTTCCACAAATAATACAATAAAACAGGACGTGCTGGATGAGTTTATAATAAAGAGAAAATATGTATTTTGGGGAAAATTATCAAAATCACCCATGTATCTGCAGTTTATTGGCCATCAGTTTGTCTGGATTCAGTAGAATGAACAACACATATCTGGGTCTGGGTGTTGCAGTAGTTTTGCATGATCTCTTCTTGTGCCTTAGGGCCGATCACCCCGTATGGAAAAATAAGAGGATTTTGTTTCTAAACTAGATATTGATGCAAACATGTTAACCATATTAGCTGTATTGTTGAGAGATTCAGCCACCTGTATTTGACTGAGGACCACTTGGACCTAGTATGAGGACAGCCTGCCTGTCTAACCCATGGTCTGAACTGCTCAGAGTCACTCACCATCTTTGGAGGACAGAGCCTGTGTGAGCCTCTCACATGTCACCGTCACCTTCTTCCTGAAGAAACGCCGTTTCACTTTTTTCCAACACCTCTGGTACTCAATATCTGTGGTACCTGCCAGCACAAAACATAGCAAAGTTACACTCAGAGCACGGATGTTCAGTACTATAAGAGCTGGGAATGAGCCGCCACTGAGCAAGACTTTCAGACTGTCCACTAGAGGAAGACCTTTTCTTTGTTGCCTTCTTTTATAAAGGGGGACACAAACATTGGAGAGGCATTGTACTGTGTCCAAAACAAGTCTGAACCTGGAATGCACCAGAGAGCTGTTCTACAAAAGCAGCTAACTCCATAAGCCTGCTTTACTCTGATGAAACACACAGCTCTGTAGGAGCTGAGCCTGATCTGGAACGACCCTGACTGGACTAAGCCTGACTTCACATGGTGAGCTGATACTGGGCAATAAACCTGATTTTTAAAACAAGACTAGAATCACCACCACAACATGCAAAAACTCCAGTTACAAAAGTACATAAAGTGTGACTTCTGCAGTTTGATTGTTTCTCTGTTTGATTGGAACTCAACATTAAATCACCTTTTTTGCTTTGGTATTTTTGGCAAATTTAGTGCAAACTAGGTCCATTTGCATATCTAAGTGTGTGCCTCTGCAAAATGCCTCTAAGTGACTCTGCCATTACCAGTAGTTGGTGACATCACACAGGACTGCCCTACTGCTCCATTTTAGTTTAGCAGCTCTATTTGAAATGTGGTTGTGGTTTAGGGCTTTAGTGCCCCTTAAATTGAACACTTTTAAAGTTTTGGCTCTGGGTTTTTCCATAGACTGTATGAATGGACATAGCTAACCCGCTAGCTGACACGCTCTAAATATGTTATTCAGTTCTTTTTAGGTTCAGACCAATTGTTTGTTTTCATACCTGACAGTTTCTATTGCTCACTTGAGAAAAGGTCTGAAAAAAGAAACTAATAATGGAAGACCAAATGAACCTCACTGGACTATTATGTTCATGGAGGTGCTGCTGGCTTCTTCTAACTCTGTTGGAATATTGTGGCCCCTTTCTCTGTCACTGCTGCTGTGAGCCACGTCATTTTGGTCTTAAAATTGTAATATTAACCAGCTCTATACGATCTGGGTGTTTTTATTTCAGCAATTTAGTTTTGTTTTGTTTGAATCCTAACCCTAAAATGGAGCCTGACTCCAAATTTGCCCCTGTAACCTATAACCAATTTTGTGAGCTTCATCTGAGTGGGGCTGAATGCTGTGGGTGACGTCACACTCGCTTAGTCCACTTCTATATACAGTCTAAGTTTTCATGCATGTCTTTTGCTCACTTGTAGACTCCATTTCATGACGGTCCAGCTGGAGCAGAGCGCTGTACTGCCCCCCCACAGACCCCTCAGACAGGTAGTGTGTGCCATAGGTGTGCAGGAGACGGCTGTAGGCGGCGTAGTCGTAGGTGAGAGGGAGGGAGGCCAGAGCGCGCCAGAAGCCCTCAGAGAGAGTGAGGTACGCTGGGGCCGAGTTCTGGAAGTGTCCCAGCACCACACGGTTCTTCAGGATGATCAGCCTGTGGGCCTGTGCACATTCACACGGCTCGGGTTAGTGTGTACTCACTGGCTGCTGTGGCTGGGAGCAGGGCTGAACCATATAGGTAAAATATCATTGAAATTGTGATTACATTTGTTGTTTATGTTCAAATAGTAGGATTCTGTTCAAAGTTCATATTTTAAAGGCTCCAGCAGAATTGACAAACAATTATAAGAATCAAGTGTACTGTGTACTGTATGTAAACTACATCCATCCCATACTCCCTACAATTGTACAACAAACTCACCCTTGAATCAGGCGTCTAAACAGATCTACAGTCAGATATAAACAGGCGTCTAAGTAGGACTACAGTCATATAAAAACAGGCGCCTAAGTAGGACTACAGTCACACATAAACAGGCGTTTAAACAGGACTACAGTCAGATAAAAACAGGCGTCTAAGTAGGACTACAGTCAGATAAAAACAGGCGTCTAAGTAGGACTACAGTCACACATAAACAGGCGTTTAAACAGGACTACAGCCAGATATAAACAGGCGTCTAAGTAGGACTACAGCCAGATATAAACAGGCGTCTAAATCAGGACTACAGCCAGATATAAACAGGCGTCTAAGTAGGACTACAGTCAGATATAAACAGGCGTCTAAGTAGGACTACAGCCAGATATAAACAGGCGTCTAAACAGGACTACAGTCAGATATAAACAGGCGTCTAAACAGGACTACAGTCAGATATAAACAGGACTACAGTCAGATATAAACAGGCGTCTAAGTAGGACTACAGTCAGATATAAACAGGCGTCTAAACAGGACTACAATCAGACATAAACAGGCGTCTAAACAGGACTACAGTCAGATATAAGCAGTTCCTTGGGCTTGTACCTTGTTTTCGGACAGCTCGTGGTGGAAGGTCTGTTTGTAGTTGGTGAACAGGGCTTTGGTCTGGACGTGCTTCATGTAGGACCAGGACGACTCATAGGACTCATCACTATCTTCATTGTTCACTGCCACCTGCACACACAGACACACACACACACACACACACACACTCATACTTCTACACATCAAAAGTATTCAACTCAACTAGACTCAAACCTGGAATCATGGCTTGGAAATCCAGCTGCACAGAAACACTTGAATAAAGTGTCTGGAAACAATAACGTTTTCTGTCTGATTTCTATTTCTATTGTTCCTTTTTCTGTATAGTTGTTGTTTTATGTGTTGTTTATGCCTCTTAACCTTTATAAAGTATCCTTAAATGCCAAGAAAGGCACTGATAAATTAAATTAATTATTATTAAAGAGGGGGCATTTTTTTCCTATTTGGTATTCACTGGTAACACAGAACATATTTAGATCACCATGTTACCTTTTATTGCTTTGAAAAGCCTATATTCACTGAAAACAAAGTATTAACATGTTGTATAAGCTTTCCATGCTGTTACTCCCCTTCAGAGTGCAATCAGAACCCAATCAGAGCACAATCTGAACACACTCAGCACTAATGGAACCACTGCACATCGCATCAGGTTTGTCAAATTGCTGTGTACAGTTTTGTGTCATGTTTTTGTATATTTGTGTAGTTTTTTTTGTGTGGGAGCATGGGTGACTTAGGCTTGTGAGCAGAGCATTGTACAGAATCTTACAGCAAACTGTAATGAGGGTTCAAATACACTGGAAAAAACAATATCTAGGTAAATTAAAATGACTTAAATTTAGAACAGTTGACTATTTGAGTAGATTCAACTTGGCAAGTAAAATGATCTACCAATGGAATAAGTGTGTTTTTCTTCAAGCAGCATTCAATTTTGTTATTTTAAGTGCAAAAAGTTGTTTTTCTTATTTTAAGTGTAGCATATTTTAAGTAAAAAATGTCTTATTCCACTGGCAGGTCATTTTACTTGTCAAGTGAAATTTACTCAGATCATGATAAAACCTTAATTCAAGTCATCTTAACTTGACTAGATTTTGGTTTTTGCAGTGTAGGGCCCTGGAGAGGTTGCTAAATTACTCAAACATGCATGGATGACATCTAAAACCTCTTCAGGCATGTTTTTAATGAGGGAAGGGAAAGTAAAGTGAGGCAGGCTTCAGTGGCACTGGGCACCTGCTCAGTGCTCAGAGAGGGCATCTCTGTGATCTTGTTGCTAGGCTTGGACAGGACTACATTAGTGGGAGGATTTGACTTATTGTACAAATGTATAACATAATATAATAACTATAAACTTCGCCTACTTAAATATCAGTGTAGTGAGGTGTGGTCAGCTCCAGGTGCACATGTGTGCTGGTCCTCACCTGCAGGTTGTAGTTGAGCACATTATGTGGCAGTCTGTAGCGTGTTCCTCCCTGTGCGCTGTACACTGTCCTGCACTGTCCTCCAAAGCTGCGCGTGTTTATCACTGAGGCCTTCAGCTCTGCAGTCAGGGCGTTATACCTGTCTCACACACACACACAAGAGAGGGGGAAATCAGGCTAACAACACTCTAACCACTATCTAACCACCTTAACCACTATCATAATTGTTTTTTTTTTTCACTATAAATGGCAGTACATATCTAAAACAGATTAATAATATCTTAATAATTACACAGTCCTAAATGTATGACCGAATGTTTTGTGAAAACATAGTGAATCTTCCCCTTTAATTTAGTATCCTGCCGACAACGCCAAAAATGTTTTGTGAAATATCTAAAAAGGTTCGTGGGAAGTAGTCACAACCAGGCAATCACTATTTCACATCAATCAATGCCAGCACACAATGAAGCTAGAGTAAACGGGTCTGTCTATTCCCCACTTAACATTGTTACAACAAGCTAGAATAACTGTGCCCGTTTATTCCCCGCTCAATAATTGTTACAATGAAGCTAGAACAAATGTGTCCGGTTACTACCACTTAACATTGCAATCATCACACAATGAGGCTAGAATGAATATGTCAGTTTATTTCCCGCTCAACATTGTTACAATCATATCAATCAATCAATGGGTTTAAGCATCAACCATCACACAAACTGGCACATAAGAAAATCAAACTCACCGTTGACACTGGGCTGGAGAGCCAACAACCCACGGCAGAGTATCTTAAACCCGGCTGGGCGTTCGTACGTAACCCGCAGCAGACTCTAAAGTGGGTGCTTTCCCTCCGCCTCTATATATTCTCTTCATGCACCTGTGCGTGCAGAGAGGGCCAGTCTCCACCGCGCACACATACATGGAGGCGCATTCCTGTCCCATGTCCAGTCTTCTGAGACTGGCAATGGGGCAGAATGCCCTGTTTTTCGTAAACACAGTGTCCTTGGCACAATCCCCTACTAAAAGATAGCGAGTTGTATAAGCATAATATTGACTCCGTGCAGGCATGCAGGTCTTTATGAATTGGTCTCAGGACCATCTTATATGTTCCCACTACACGAAAGTCAGTATTTTTCAAATAATCTCAAATATGTACAGATATATGGGCGGGGATAGGGGCAAGGTCGAGCCACAAATGCAGGACAATGCAGGATTACTCAAACAAGCATGAATCAATCTAAACACAACTTTGGATAAGATAATGAATGATATGTGAATGCAGTTGTTACTGGATTAAAAGCTCATAAATTGCTTCATCTGTCTGACTCAGAGCAGGACAGAGGCTGAGGTGCGGCTGGGGAAAGTATCTGTGTTTGAGCATAGATCTCCATAGAGTACTGACCCTCTGCCGGTCAGGTCCGAGTTGGGTGGGGTCTGGAGGGTGTTACAGATGTAGTGGGTGTTCTCACAGTGAGCCTCGTCCAGCCCATCCTCACAGTCCTGGTCTCCATTACACAGCAGGGCAGCGCTGATGCACTGACCTAAAATACAACCACACAGATTCAGGACAGAGGGTGACATTTGTATGTGTGTGCAGCAGCTCAGTTATTACCTGAGGAGCAGCGGAAACGTCCTCCACATCCGTCCTGTAGGGGGCATTGTTTGTGAGAGGAGCAGGGCTGTATATCGAAGGATTCCCCGGAGCACAGAGCTCCTCCAAACTGAGCAAACACTTGGATGTGACGGGTGCGCACCTGCAACACAAATACTTTGTCATTCTAGAGTATGTGACTTCCTGCATCCCACATGTGTCATTCATAGTTTTGATGTGTAATGCGTAAATATGTAAACATGGAGATAAAGAAGAAAGAATATATGAAAAACTGTGTCTAAACTTTTGACTGGTCAAAGGTTTAGACAAGTGACTAACCACAGACATTAATTTATGGTAAATGGTCACATTTTTGTTCAGCGCTTTTCCACCTTCAAGGCTCAAAGCACTTTACAACAAGGAACCACTCAGACACTCAATCACACAGACACTCATACACCAGACACGGGGGGTGAGGGGGGTTAAGTGTCTTGCCTAAGGACACAACAACAGCATGGGTCATTGGATTTGAATGCTCAACCAATGGTGATTTTATATCGACCTTCACAACCTTCAGATCAGTGGATAAACTGAGCTACTGTCGCCCTTAACTTATGTAATTCACAGTAGCCCCATGTATCCATGTCCCATGTATCCATGTCCCATGTATCCATGTCCCATGTATCCATACACACTACAACAGTTCAAATGTTTCCAACAACAGAAGCCATTTATTCATTTAGGTAATTTCAAAGATTGCGTACCCCTGAGACAGGGGTACAGATAAGTGCAGGCAATTAAAACTGATGAGCAGAATGTGTTGAATCTAATCTGATCACTTTAACATAATCATCCTTTCTGAAAGTAAAGTGTGAATGTTCCTGAAACACCACAGACAGTGTGTGTGGAGGACTAGGACTGACCTTAGTGCTGGAGCAGGGGTCACACTCTGACCAAAGCCCATAGTTGGACCAACGGCAATTTACAGGCTGCTCCCCTCTGTAAGACAACAGCATGTAGAGATCACAAAACATACGCAGCACACTGAGCTGCACAAATGAACGTCTATGTGAGTTACTCATGGATCTATAATATAATGTGAGTTACTTCAGGTCAAATGACAAATATAGTCTTGAGTAGATTGAATAATTTCAGGTAATTACATATTTGTCATATTTGTAGATGTTTAACTTTAACACAGGACAAATATAATGAAATAGCAGAGAATCTAGGTCACTATGAATGTAATTCCCACTGGCATGAGAATTAAAGGGCCCTCACTATGCTGTTTTCTGATTTAGGTTATAATGGAGTTTCCTCATCACAAACAGACCTGGAGTTGTGTTTTGTTTCATTCACACTTTTAACAAGCAAACCCTGTATATTTAGGCTGACTAAGGAGGTAACATTGATATGGCTTAAAGAGTTCATTTTCTGTAATATATAATACCTATTTTAAGTCATGTTGTGTGTATAGATATTTTTAAACATATGCAAACAGTTGTGTGCCCTACCGAACAGGTGAGAGAAGGAAGATCCACATGGACAGGACTGCTGCAGAGTCCAGCTGTCAAAGTCATAGCAACAATATATAGTCACGCAGCAATGAAGACAAAGCAGTCAAATTTAAACAACTACAAAGAACGGATTACACATAAAAATGGCCAAGACAAAATACTGTTGTAGCCTATTCTTGAGGAGTATTTTCACCAAATATTTTGACTTAACTGGTGGGCCAGAGTCTTTTGACTCCATTCTCTTGAGTTGTTTACTCTTTGGTTTCTACTACAATTTGTGACTATTTTTAACAGTTATTTGAGTAATATTTACAGGTCAAATATGAATAAAATTAATGATTTCAAAGTCATCAAGTCTAGGCTGACATTAAAAATATTGGATTTGTTGAGTTCTTACCTTCATCTTGTTCATTCCCTGGTTGCTCTGACTGTTGTGGATTCACTGCGGCCTGTTCTTATAAGCCCTGACTGGGCCAGTGTTTCATAAGCGCAGTGCCTCTGGACTTTTGGAGCTTTCCTCATCCAGATGTAGGCTCTGTGTCAGGGACAGAGCCTCCCACTGTTCCCTCCCGCTCACATATCCAGAGCATTGTGCAACAGTAGAGCCAGTCAACAGGCACTATGACAAACACTCTGTTCTGCTGACACAGGAGAGAAAGGAAACATTTGCACTGAGAGGATGGATGCCAGCAGTTGGACGATTAAGTAATGTGTGATTTTTTGTCAACTGCGTCACAGTATACACAGCACTTTAAGAACTTTTCATTATCAGATATCAAACAAAGTACTACAATTTGGAGTGTGTGTCATGGGTTGCTTGTGTTGGCCAGAGAGGGCAGCTGAGAAGTTAGTCATTCCAGTAAGAGAAAAGTCATACCCTGCAGGGATTGTAAGCTGGCCAAAGGAGGAGATACAGACCACAGATGTTAAGACACGAAAGCTCCTGACCATGCATGGAGGGTTCCATCCCAAATCCAGCACCCTGAGACTGTACGCAGGCCGGAAGGAAGGGGTCCGAGGACTAGTGAGTGTGGGAACCACTGTCCAGGATGAAACATCCAAGCTCCTTGAGTACATCAAGGACAAGGCCCCGGCAGATGAGGTGCTCAGAGAATGTCTCAGACAGTGGGGTCCAGAGGAAGAGGTGCTGGAGGGACCATCATGGCAGGACAAACCCCTACATGGGGCGTACCACCGGAACATAACTGAAGTGGCTGATATCAAGAAATCCTACCAATGGCTTGAGAGGGCTGGTCTGAAGGACAGCACAGAGGCACTGATCCTGGCTGCTCAGGAGCAGGCCCTGGGCACTCGAGCAATAGAGGCCCAGATCTACCACACCAGACAAGACCCACGGTGTAGACTGTGCAAAGAGGCTCCTGAGACAGTCCAGCACATAACTGCGGGGTGTAAGATGCTGGCAGGGAAAGCATACATGGAGCGACATAACCAAGTGGCGGGCATAGTGTACAGAAACATCTGTGCAGAGTACGGGCTGGAAACCCCAGGATCAAGGTGGGAAACACCTCCAAAGGTTGTGGAGAATGACCGAGCCAAGATCCTGTGGGACTTCCAGATACAGACTGACAGAATGGTGATGGCGAACCAACCAGACATAGTGGTGGTGGATAAGAAACAGAGCAGAGCCGTGGTGGTGGACATCGCAATACCAAGCGATGGTAATATCAGGAAAAAGGAACACGAGAAGCTAGAGAAATACCAGGGGCTCAAGGAAGAGCTGGAGAGAGCCTGGAAAGTAAAGGCATCAGTGGTGCCTGTGGTGATCGGAGCACTCAGGGCTGTAACCCCCAAACTGGAAGAGTGGCTACAACAGATACCGGGAAAAACAATGGACATCTCAGTCCAGAAAAGTGCAGTACTGGGAACAGCTAAGATACTGCGCAGAACTCTCAAGCTCCCAGGCCTCTGGTAGACGACCTGAGCTGAATGAGGGTGAGAGACCAACCACCGTGGAAGGTGAGAAACACATTTTATTTTATTATATATATATATATATATATATATATATATATATATATATATATATATATATATATATATATATATATATATATATATATAGATAGATAGATAGATAGATAGATAGATATAGATATTTTTTTTAATCATGAATGTGAATTTTTGTGATCCCCTCCGTTAGGATAACATTGTCACTTCCGCGTATCACCATGGCAATACGGTTAAAAATACCTTATTTTCAAAATTGTATTAATTTTTAAAATTATTTATTTTAAATTTTGTCCCGCTTTGCGCTCAACTTCGTAAAATAGTTTGCCTATTGAGAAAACACCCTACAGGGGCTCAGGCCTAAAAGTTTAAAATAATCTTGTAGTCATCAGTGAAGTTAGAAGAACACACAGCTTCATAACATTTTACTGGTATAAGTAAAACATATTATGTGAATCATATATTTTTTCCAAAACGCTCTATTACTCATTATTACTAACCCTTAGCAAAAGTGAACGAGTACGGTAAACGCCACATTTCTCTTTTTTTCTGTGATCGTGTTAATTGACTTTTCTGTTTGCGAGCAACGTGGAGCGTCACTATTTCCGTGACGTACACCGGAAGTGGCGGTGAACGTAAGTTCTGGCTCTGGCCCTCTGGCTGTGGCTCTGGCTTAACTCGTTCAGCAAAACAGATGCGATCGGACCTGCACAAACCACCACCGATCCCCGGCTCAGTCTGTCCCAACGCAGAGAGACCAACAGCTGCGGGCCCATCGTGAGCTCATACACCCCGGGACCCCGAACACTAGCCCGGGAGGAGTGCATCTAGACGGCCCTAGTTTGGTCCAGCCCCGCGGTGCTTAACCATCATCTGTTTTTACAAAGTAGTCTCCATTAGCGGCGCTTTAAGCAAAAGTTGAGGTAATGGGAGAAGATCGTAGTCAGAGAACTTCGATCGCTGCTTTAAAACTTGTGATGTAGTTTGCATCGCCTCGATCTTCCTGTTTCTGAGAGTAACTTCTGTCCACACAACTCAATGGGTCAGCGCTTCTGCCTCACACGTGTCGTTTTGTATACGAACTTAACTTACACAGAGAAAAAAAGAGATAAAAAGTGAACGCGTTGTATTCCATCACACAGGACACTTGATTGGATTTGTGCATTTTGATGTCCAAAGGGGAAATGAGTACAAAACTGCGCTAGCATTTAAAGCTCCTCTTGTATCTCGCCTAAACAAAGTGAAGTGGTCAAAACTGGTTAAATAGTACCAACAATCATCAAATTATCGTTGGTGTATGTTTGACAAATGTTTATCTGTAGCGATATGAATGTTTTTAACTTGTTTGTCGATAGTTTGGTGTGTTTCTAAAGAAGACAAAGAAAGAAAAGCTGTGCCAGACTTGACTTTTAAATATGGCTATCATGCTAGCTAGTTTTAAGGGGCTAGTTAAATACAGCTACATTCACACGTTAGGGCGTAGAAACCTTTACCACTATAACGCCGGTGTGTTAAATATGAACACACAGCTCTTAATGACATGACATTTTTATAATGGACTTGTGTATATCAGTTAATTTAGCGAAACTCTCGCTAGCTGTAGCCGTTAGCCTGTTAGCATGACTCAGTGGATTTGCAGAGCGAGCTGGCCCTGGGATTGCTAAACAGCATGTTTTCATTTTGAGGTCATTGTTTCAACAGCTTCGAGTGTACAGGCTTTAACCTGCTTTATTGTGAATTGTAGTTCTTAGTGTGACCCTTGTCTGTGAAGTTGAATTAGAATCTCGTGATAAAAGTGTTCTTCAAGTGATTTCCACAGCTGGGAGTTGATGCGCACCAACACAACAGATGATCACTTTACTGTTTTTACTCCTGTTCGAAAAGCTGACTGCTCTAAAAGGTCTTTATTACGCTATTTCTAATCTATGTTATCATGTAGTTTCCTCATCACAAGCAATGCCTGGAGTTGTGTTTTGTTGCATTCACACGATTAACACACAAATCCTGCATATTTAGTTCCCCTCTCAAACAGAAAACACTTCTACCTTGTTATGTCATGTGGTAATACAGGAAATGCTCTGCTGTGTTTTTAAACTCGGCCACCTTCACTAGAATCATATGGATAATTTTAGCTTTGAAATTGCCAATCTTTACTCAACAAAAGGTTAGATGTAGCTGTTCACTTGACAACTAGCACTTCATGACCTCCCACTGGAACAGATCATGTTGAGCGTTTGAGATGTAGACGGACTAATAATAAAGGGTTACAAAAATGTGTGAATGAAACAAAGCACTACTCTGGGTATGTTTTTGATGAGGCAACATTACAACATGACTTAAAGATCACTAGAATAAGTTTTGTGTTATATAGAACCTTTTTAAGTATTGCCATATTTAGTTGAATCAACTGTAGTACAGTAGTACTTTACATTTTCAAATAGGTTGCTTGCTTTTAATTGACTAGTCTTTTGTCAAAAAAGGAAACATTACAGACCAAATCCAGTTTTAGGACTAAAATCTCAGATGAACTTGCATTATGCATTGTTTCAGTTTGGGTATTGCAATAGCCTTCATCACAGTATCAACAATTTTGTGAAATTGCGATGTATTGTGGATATTATCAATGACACATTTGTAATGAAGGAACTGGACATGGTTTAGCTGTATTTTCCATACATGTATGAACCAGATTTGAGTGTGACTGGACTGACTAATGCCCTCCTGTGTGTCTACCCTCAGGAGGACCCAGTGAAGGCATCGCTATGGCACAAGAGACCAATCAGAGCCCAGTCCCCATGCTGTGTGCCACCGGCTGTGGTTTCTATGGCAACCCTAGGACCAACGGCATGTGTTCTGTGTGTCACAAGGAGCATCTGTCCAGGCAGAACTCCACAGGTATGCTCCGCTCTTGTCTGCTCCTGCAGACAGTTTCCTGTGATGCCACTCATCTTATAGCCCATTAGCCCATTAAAATGAACATGGCTAAATGATAATTATTGTTGTACCTCTCTGTTTACGATCTTGTGTTTTCAAATGCTACACATTGCTACTGTTTTATTGCATTAAAAGTATTCCTTTGGGTTGTGTTGTGTGTCAGGAGCCAGCTCAGAGGTGTCTGCGATGCAGAGGTTAGAGGAGACCCTGAACTCTGCAGCTGCTGCTGCCGTGGCTGCAGCTGAGGAGGCTGCTGAGAGCGCCGCCAAGGCCAACCTCTTCAGGTACATGCTTTCTTGCACCGTGCAGTTGAGCTCTTCTCCTGGCATCATCAGACTGCCCTACATGCAGCATGGCACAAAGTGCAATTTAAATTATGTACATGTGTTTTGGGATCTGGGAGATTCAGATCACAGAACCTTCAAATGTAGTTATGCATTTAGATTGAATGAAAAGTACTGTCTAAATGGTGCTAAGTGTGAGTTTGGATTCCCCCTGTAAACATAATGGGCATGTGTGTAGTGACTGTTGGAGTGACTGGGTGCATGTCTCTTTGTGTCTTCCACAGCAGTGTGTCTGAGCCCAGTGCGGTCACACAGCAGATGACCGAGATGAGCCTACAGTGTGAGGAGCCCAGTGCTGCTGATGTGCTCCTCTGTCCTGGTGAGATACCGCTCCCCCAGGCCGTTCTGGAGGATCCCACAGCTCCTCCATCCAAACCCAAGAAGAACCGCTGCTTCATGTGTCGCAAGAAGCTGGGCCTCACAGGTATTCCCCAGTAACCTGCTAGGACTATATAGATCTCTATAGATCTCTCTATATCTCTCTATATCTCTCTAGATATATCTCTCTATATATCTATATCATATCTATATCTATATATCTGTATCTATCTCTATCTATATCTATCTATATCTATCTATCTATCTATCTATCTATCTATCTATCTATCTATCATCTATCTATCATCTATCTATCATCTATCTATCTATCTATCTATCTATCTATCTATCTATCTATCTATCTATCTATATATATATATATATATATATATATATATATATATATATATATATATATATAATCTTGTGTGGCCAGTTAGGAGTATGATCTGATATTAGCAGACCCTCTCACGTCTCCTCTTGTGTCCAGGGTTTGACTGTCGCTGTGGGCAACAGTTCTGTGGACTGCATCGGTACTCGGACAAGCACCACTGCCCATACGACTACAGGACAGAAGCGGCCGAGAAGATCCGCAAAGAGAACCCTGTGGTGGTGGCAGACAAGATCCAGAGAATATGAAGTGTACCCTCCTGCTTTTCACCCACTCTCCATCCTTACACAGAATCATTTGGTGGCACGGTTATGTCTCATTTGACTCACTTTTAGGTAGATCTGTGGTTTAATTTTTATGCGTTGGTTTTTGCGTTGGTAAACTCAAGGACCAAGCGGACAGTGGGCGTTTTAGGCGAGATGGCTGGGTATGGAGAAAACCCCACTGTAATCGCTGGCCTCGGCGCTCTCGGACAATTTTTGAATGAGACTTTTTGTCTCTTGCAAATGTTTTTAATTCCTATGGGCGTGTGGCGCTTGGCGACTGTTACTGCTTGCTCTCTGCTGGCTACAGAAGCAAAACGGATGTGTGTGCTCCTGTGGGTCTGGCCTGCTCTTGTGTGCCCTGCTCATGTCCTGGAGATGGACTCAGATCACTACTCTGCTGGAGAGGAGAGACTGGCACGCTTTAGTTGGACTGCTATTACTACACAGGCCACTGGGTTTTCTTTAGCTAACATTATTTCAAACCAGAGTGAAGAATTGTAACATTTGGATGTCAATGTTTTGCCCTGTTTTTAGTTCAAGTTGTGTGAAAAACGGAGGTTAAAGTTTTATGTTTAATATTTAAAATCGCATTGTGTAACTTTTTGTGTTGCCAATGGAGCTTAATAGTCCCGCCCACTTTGGAGTCTGCTTTGCTTTCGGAAATAAAATTTTCATTAATTTTTTTCCATAGACTCCAAAAAAATCAAGAGTTTGAGGCACAACGGGGGGGTTATTAGCTTTGTGTTAACTAATATCCCTAACATGGCTGCTTTAAGTCCAAAAAGCACATTTAAAACAAAAGATTCAGTGAAATGCTTTAATATTTACTAGTTTATAAAGTTTTATAAACTAATTTCAAATAAATAATAGGTGGTACTTTGTGGTCATCCATGTGGTTACCATAGTGCTGATGAGCCATGAGCGACATTTCTTTTCACTTTTAATAATGCCATACAATTCTTTTCAGAAAGTCTATGGGAAAAATGGATGGAAAACCCAGGGGTGGGCGGTCACTGCTGAGCTGCATTGCATGGAGATAACTTTAATGCTGTACTGTGGACATTTCTGGAAAAAACATTAACAAGTGCTGCGTGCTCTCCACTAGAAAAGTTACACCATGCACCTTAAACATAAGTCCTGCATTAGGGTGCGCAACTGGCTTTGCTCAACTTAACAAGAACAGTTTATTGTACTAAAGGTTTGTATTATAATTATACTTGGGTGCACATTTGAGTTTCACACTAATGTTGGCGTATCCTTGTCAGTGTCCAGTTACACTGACATTACTCTGTGTGCGTGTGTGTTTGTGTTGGCAGGTGAACAAGTTGTGTAGAGGGACATGATGCTCATACGTGTGGGTGGTTCCTTGCAGTTGTATGATAGGTGGTGACTGATCGTTTGGATATGCACTCTGCATTTAGTTTTTTTTTTTTAGTTTGTATTCATCTTATTTATAAAAGTGCAGTCACACAGTTTTCTGTTCCAAATAAAGTAACATGTCAATAAATTATGTTCCACAATGTTCTTATGGGCGTCACTCATTCTGTTTCTGAAAATGTTCTTGTTGTGGATCCAGAGCTAATATAATGTGCTATGTGCTGTAAAGCACTGCACTGAAAATGTGCTTTATGAGACCATGCAGTCCTGTCATGGCCAAAAGCTGCGTGTCCAATTTGTCCATAAAATGTAGAATATAGAATGGATGAAATTTCATGGTCAAATTCAGCCAGCCAGTCATGTAACCAAAAGAACTGGGACATTTTTCTCTTGAATGTCTAAAGTCCAGACAGATGTGTCTCATATCAGTTTATATAAAATACAGTCTGGTCTCCACTCCCTCTGTTACGTCTCAACTCAAGCCAAACCAAATGTGATCATGTGCTCAGATCCCCATTTACAAACAAAACCACATTTCTGTCAGATGAACAGCGACACTCCACTGTGCCCTCCACTGTGCCCTCCACTCCACTGTGGTCACTTGGTACTGAGGTTTGTGCAGAACATATTTGATGGTTTAAAGGGCGTGTATTGATGGTTCATTATTTGTTGTTCACAGTTCTGATGTAGTTTCCTCATCACAAACAGTTCTGGACTTGTGTTTTGTTTCATTCACATGTTTAACACACATTTAGACTTCTTCACTCTGTTCCACCTTGTGATGCCATGTGATGTCAAGTGCTCCACTGTATTTTTAAAATCCACACACATTCACTTGAAGCATTTGGATCATTTCAGACCTGGAACTGCCAATCAAACAAAAGGTATAAAGAGCTGTTAACTCCTCACGGAGAGATGGACAGACGTGTGTGTGAGCTGCTCTCAAGAGAGACACAGGAGTGTGTGTCAGGTTACCATGGTTACAGACGATGAGAGTGCCTGCAGGACTCTGGGTTTAAAGCTCCACTGTGTAACATGAGCTGTCCCAGAGCTCTGCTGCTTTAGCTGTACTGTCTCTGTGAGACTTTTCCTTCTGAATGATGGACTTTTATTGTAGGCCTGTCTCCTGTGGACAGCAGCTCTCCTCTGAGCGCGCTCTGGACTCACTGTATAAAATATGATCTGCCTGATCACACTCACCTGAGATCACATGGTGCGTCGTCATGGTGACCGTCTGGACACCTGAGTGCGCGGGCAGGAGCAGACGTCCTCAGTCTGTGCCCACTGCATCGGCAGAGACGTCCAGATGCCCCGCCAACAGAACGCCGCTGCTATGGAGGAAGGTCAGACGTGTCTTATTTACATTTTCTTCTTTCAAAATGCAGAGGTGCTCCTGTCACCAGACTGGGCCCATACAGGTGTTTTTGCACATGAATAATCTGTCTATATTATATCAAGGTTATAATATAGACACATGTTCACCTCGGGCCTGACTTTTTCTGTACAAAGAATCCTGAGGCCCAGTCACATTATTAATCATTCATTCATTAAAATGAATGAATTTTATTTAGGATAATAAAGTGTTTCTAATCTCGTCTAATGTTACATGTTTTGTTTGTAGTGATTGTGCGGCCCTTATTCTAGTGTCCTCAGAAGGTCAGAGGTCTCAGTGGAGTCTAACAGAAGGAGGAGGGTGTAGTTGCAGATGTGTGCTCGTCATGTTTTGTCCCATGAGCTCCTGGTGTTTCCAGAGCCAGAGCTCACACTCTACACCCTTCACTTTATTTGAAGTCATGAGTTATGAGCCTGAAACATCAGCACCCCTAAGAGCTGAAGAATTTTGGAATTTTCTACCCTGTCCAATTACACTTAAATGTGTGATTCAAGACTGTGCAGTTCTTTAGGATTCACGTTTAACAGAAGACTGGATTATAAACTGTTGCAGTCATTCGAGTAATGCTACAGCAGAGTCATTCGAGATTTAAACCAGGGGGTTTCTGAACTTTTCAGCCCAGAACCTTCACAGTAACCATCCAACTGCCCCAGGCCCCAGCGCCAAAACAAAATGAGGTAGATACCATTTACGAGGTAAATCAGGTTCAGGTACTTTTTAGAGATGCGCGGATGGGCTATTTTTTCATCCGCAACCGCGACACAAAACTCATCATCCGCCCGCTGTCCATTTTGCACCGAAGGTTTTCAAAACCGCACCCGCCGCCATCCGCCGATTGATTTTAGATTTTAGAACAATCATACAGCAAACAAACTAAGGAGCCTCGATAAAAATGCAAACTCTCTAGCTCATTCATTCCAAAATTCGCTCAGCGTGTATGTTCACATTCTTAATTGTCCGTAACAACCCCAGACTTACCTGGTTTTCTTGCGCAGCTAATTAATTGACAATGTTTTCCGACTAGGCTGTTTTTGAACCTTCTTGCCTTCGTGTTGGATGTTGTTACATTCTGAACATTCTGCCATTGCCCGATGTTATTTCAAAGTCATAGCCTCACTCCATCGGTCTTTCTTTAAGTTTTAAATCCCCCGAGTGGCAGTCTACGCTATAATGTCTGCGTGTTTTAAAATATAACTGATATCGAAATGGCCCTATAGCCACTTATGTGTTGGCAAACAGCTGAAATAAATTAGAAATAATAAAATAAACTGCATATAATATGTGCCCCGTAAACCTTAGTCTATCAATAACCCGACACAACCTGAACCTTCAGAACATAAAAACGAGGTCAAATGGGCTAATTAAGGACATGACGTACACTTCATACTACAAGCATAGACAATGACACTCGTCTTTCCAGATGTAGCTAACAATACTAACATTTATTTATTTTATTTTATTTTATTTTTTTTTAGTAGTTAATCCGCCACCCGCCCGAATTTAATTAAAATATAATTTTTCGTCACGTCATCCGCCCGACCCGCGGATTAACCGCGGGTACCGCGGTTGTAACCGCAATCCGCGCATCTCTAGTACTTTTAGCTCACTGCCGTGACCCTTCAAACTGCAGACTCACTGGAGCAATTATCTGCGGTAGATTTTGTAAGTAAACTAATGGCCTGTCCCAGTGTCTGCATGAATCTTTAACACAGAGTGAAACCCCACACCTCCAGCACACTTCTAGAACACCACTCACAGGGAGAGAGGGTGAGAAGGAGAGAGACTTTATTGAAATTCAAGTTTTGTTGCAGCAAACTGTTGATGTTGATGTCGCTGCAACATTCCCACTGTGCGTCTCAGTGTCCTTTGTGTGTCAGTCAAAGGTCTCAGTGTGGTTTAACAGGAGGACTGGTCAGGGAGGGTCAGCAGATCCTGTGGAAGAGACAAAAGTGTCTCCTCTGTGTCCTGCAGCATCACAGCAGCCTCCAGGGGGCGCCAGGTGAACACAACAGGAAAGGCCTCACTCTTCTTCTGCTCTGGTGTTTTAGTCGGTGATGAAATGGTCCATTGCCTCAGTGTTTCTCTGGAAGATCTTCTGCCACATTTGCTGACACTTTTGGTGTAAAAGCCTGTAGCATCTCAAATGTCCAGAACCCAAATCCAAATCAGAGGGTCATGTGAGGCTCATTCTGCTTTCTGATTGGATAATCATTTTAAAAACCAAAACATCAAATTCTAACATAAACCACTTGTCCATCATGTCCAGTGTTATGGTAATTAAGAATAAATCTGCTATTGTTATCAGTAAAAGTTCAGTTTGATTTGAACTTGTCGACTCTCTGAACACAGCTGAACACAGCTGGAATTTAAAATGAAAATCTTACAGAGAGTTAAGCTTCATGTAGTAATCTGTTATACGAGTACGTTTGGCGAGTCCCTGAGTGACAAGAGCAGCTTTTAGTATTTTGTAATAAGCCACACTTGGTTATTGAAGCATGTGATAGAGTCACCCACCTTTTTGTGCTCATTTAGAGTTGAGGGGAGAAACCAAAGTGTAGAAAGCCCAGATACAGAGGAGAACATGCAAACTCCACACAGAAACGTCCTGCTGCTGCTCTCAGAGCACAGAATGTTCCAGAACACTGGTCTGACTCCAGCAGCTGGAAACACACATGTGATGAAAGGAGGAAAGAGAAAAGAGGAGGAAAAGAACAGACCAAGGAGGCTGATGGTTCTTCTGCTGTGGTTGTAAAGATGGACTGAAAATGAATTGTCGCTGAAATGGCAGGAGGGGGGAGTTTATCTGAAACACTTACAAGAGGAGGAGGAGCTAAAGTCTTGTGGATTGTGCACTTCAGCTTTTCTTGTGTCTTCTGCAGCGTCTCATTGTCTTGTGTTTTGTCCACAGTGGGGATCGAGATGGACGGAGAACTGAGTGACAGTGATGGTGAGTAGACATGTCGTCTCAAATCTCAGGTTCTCTTAGGTCATAGCATCACAAACACAAAGCTGTGACGGTTATTAATGCACCTCAAGGACAAAATAGACCCAGAGCACAAACATGATGTAATATGTGCAACACTAATTGGCTAATGTCTGGCACAGAAATGTCTGCATATGAGACTAATGAGTTTGTTTCTTGTCACAGCAAAGCAAAAAACAAATAATGAATTTTAATCATATGATGGTATGGTTCAGGTGTCCATCAGGACGTCAGCTCTCAGCTGAGCAGAGCTCGGGGCAGGACTATAAACCAACTTTAAGAATCTGAACTGAAGTCCACTTGGGCTTTTCACTGAGTCACCAAAACTCACACTTAGAAATCTCAGGCATCGATCTTCTTCACACTTATTCAGAAGTGAAAAATTCATATGTTTGGAATGATCTTGAGATTTGAACCTGTTATAATGTGCATGTTGCACCTGCAGACATCGTCCATTTCATCTGTTTAAGTTCCAGTTTGTGAGGCCGTCTCTGAACATAGTTCTGAGCTCTCAGACTGAAGCATGGCTCTGCTTCCATCACAGTCTCAATGGCCATGCTGCTAATGCTTCTTTTTATTATTTGAATCCTCTTCTTTTTTGCCAGTAGGGGGCACCGATACAATAATCCATGACAGGAGAGGAGGGAAAAAAGCCCAGGTGGAGCATTTTTTCACTGCTCCACTACAGATTCTAATGGGTCCTTCAAAGTGCGTCAGCATGTAGGTGATGTACTTCATAGGTGTGATGGAAGCGTCCTCTCGAGGCTGCACTACACGACTGTTCACACACTCTTAAAGCTCTACTTTGGCACTTTTCTGGTGGAGGGCACACCACCTGCATGTCTCCATGGAGATGTGATTGCTTTGTTTCACAGTATGGTATTACTCTTATCCATCTATCAATAGTGGGGAAATTCCCTGAAGCGTGTCTGTTGCTTTGCAGATGGCGGGGGTCCTCGGAGGGGAAACAGACGTCAGGCCGGAGGGCGAGGAGCGCCAAAGGGGCGGGGACGAGCCAAAAAGCCCGCCAGCGACGAAGAGGAGGACGAAGAGGAAGAGGAGGCTCCTAGAGGGCGTCGAGGAGGCAACAGGAAAAAAGCCACCAAGAAACAAGATGAAGATGAGGACAGTGAAGAAGAGCAGAACCCCAGGAGAAAACGAGGAGCCAACGGCAACAAGAAGAAAGGACAAAAAGGACAGGAGAGCGAGGACAGTGAAGAGGACACCAAGAGAGGAAGGAGGGGAGGAAAGAAGGGAGCCAAAGAGGAGGAACCTAAAGGGAAGAAGGGAGACGCCAAAGGAAAAGACAAGGACAAAGGGAAGGACAAAGGGAAGGACAAAGGCAAGGACAAAGGCAAGGATGAAGACAAGAAGAAGAAAAAGAAGAAAGGAGACAGGTAACACTGTAAAGACCACGTCATATGACCACATGGAAACTTGTGTCACCTTTTCTCTGCTGCAGCTCCTCAGACTCCAACTCCAACTCAGAAGAAGAGGACTCCATGTCTGAGGGAGAGATGGCCCGGCTCATGGAGGAGGTGGAGGAGAAGAAGAAGCTCATCGCCAACATCCGAAACAAACCGTGGAGGATGCACCGCAGGCTCACACACCTCAAGTAAGAGCCAATCAGAGAGCATCTCACCTCCAGTAAGAGCCAATCAGAGAGCATCTCACCTCCAGTAAGAGCCAATCAGAGAGCATCTCACCTCCAGTAAGAGCCAATCAGAGAGCATCTCACCTCCAGTAAGAGCCAATTAGAAAGACACAGTCATCCCATATACCCGCCCCTGTCACAGAGACATGCCCACATCTGCCCATATCTGCCCACACCTGCCCACACCTGCCCACACCTGCCCACACCTGCCCATCACACCCACACCTGCCCATCACACCCACACCTGCCCATCACACCCACACCTGCCCATCACACCCACACCTGCCCATCAGCTCTGAGTATTTTGTCTCCACAGGGAGGCTCAGGCGTTCGTGGACAAGTTTGAAGGAGCTCTGGGAAAAGGCAAAGGCCGGAAGTGGTACGCCTACAAAGTCATGATGACCAAGGTCTGCACAATCCAAGACTTTTTACTTTCATAGACAGGACACAAGTACACAAGTACACAAGTACACAAGTATACAAGTACACAAGTACACAAGGACACAAGTACACAAGTACACAAGTATACAAGTACACAAGGACACAAGTACACAAGTATACAAGTACACAAGGACACAAGTATACAAGTATACAAGTACACAAGTACACAAGGACACAAGTACACAAGTACACAAGTACACAAGTATACAAGTACACAAGGACACAAGTACACAAGTATACAAGTACACAAGGACACAAGTATACAAGTATACAAGTACACAAGTACACAAGTATACAAGTACACAAGTACACAAGTATACAAGTACACAAGGACACAAGTATACAAGTACACAAGGTACACAAGTACACAAGTACACAAGTATACAAGTACGCAAGTACGCAAGTACGCAAGTACGCAAGTACACAAGTACACAAGTATACAAGTATGCAATTACGCAAGTACGCAAGTACGCAAGTACGCAAGTACACAAGTACACAAGTATACAAGTACACAAGTACACAAGTATACAAGTACACAAGTACACAAGTATACAAGTATGCAAGTACACAAGTACACAAGTACACAAGTATACAAGTACACAAGTATACAAGTACACAAGTACACAAGTATACAAGTACACAAGTTCACAAGTACACACATATACCAATACACAAGTATGGAAGTTCACAAGTACAACTTTGGACCAGTGCTTTTGGTCTTCAAATCTGTATTTGTGCTGAGGAAACATGATCAGTGTTAACATCAATACTGATTTAAGAGGCTTTTTAAACAAACTCTCTCTTTTGTGTTTGTGAGCTGGTAGATTTTAAATGTCTATATAGATATACGGGAAATATTGGTTATTGATAACGACAGCCAAATATCAAATATTGTATTGACCGAGGAAAAAGTCCACGTCAGACCATCTCTAAAGAATAAATGTGAAAAGCCTCAGCCTCCCCTCAGGCTGTGAGAGGCCCCTCCCCCCTGCTCCTCAGGGCTTCTGAAGAATCTTAGGACAGGTCCAGGATGTGAGAAGGTCCTCCTGCTCCTCAGGCCTTCTGAACATGTGCTTTTCTGTACAGAAATGGATCAAGTTCCAGCGAGACTTTGAGAACTTCCGGACGTCCTGTATTCCCTGGGAGAGCCGCATCAAGGAGGTGGAAAGTCAGTAAGCTCCAGCTTATACTCAACCTATGCCCCAACTTGGACTCAACATTTTTAGTTACAGAATACTGAGCGCCTGCATGTGTTTTTCTTTATTTCTTTATTTTCAAAGCACTGTGTTGTGAATACTCTCACAGTGAGCTGTATTATATTATAGTGCAACTCCATTTAAAAGTCATCATCACTAATTCAAGAAGAAAAAAAATCAGACATGGATCCATCACAGTTTGAAGTTTGCAGTTTGAAACCTAAATTGAGTGATAAAAATACTACAATATATTCTTCTGATTTTAGAAAAGTAGCAGTATTCTGAATGATACCACATGAAATGAGTATACTGAATGTCATTCTGTACATGTATTTAGTTACTTCTCAACACTGTCTACAGATACTCTACTTGATCAATAACTTGATATAGTCTTTTCCCTGATCAAACACGTGATGACTGACTGTTCCTTTTCTTTCTTTTATCTTATTGGGTGAAACGACCCTGTGTGTGAACGAGCCTCTGTGTGAAACGCGCCTGTGTGTGTGAAACGAGCCTCTGTGTGAAACGAAACTGTGTGTGAAACGAGCCTGTGTGTGAAACGAGCCTGTGTGTGAAACGAACCTGTGTGTGAACGAGCCTGTGTGTGAACGAGCCTGTGTGTGAAACGAGCCTGTGTGTGAAAGCACATGTGGATTAAACGTGTGATCAAGTGTCTTGTGTTCTCTGTCTCGTGCTCAGGTCACTTTGGTTCGTCCGTGGCGTCCTACTTCATCTTCCTGCGCTGGATGTACGGCATGAACCTGGTGCTGTTCGGGTTCACCTTTGGCCTGGTGGTCATCCCAGAGGTCAGAGGTCACACATACACCAGCACATACACGCCTCGCTGTGGAGCAGTCTCACATGTTTTCTCTGACCTGTAGGTTCTGATGGGTCTGCCGTACGGATCTATCCCCAGGAAAACTGTTCCCCGCGACGAGCAGGACACGGCTCAGGACTACTCCGTGCTCATGGACTTCAATGTGAGACACACTTACTCACAGTCATTATAAAATGGAGCTTGGCATTAAGCATCTCAATGGCTCATCAAATTGTTGTAAACCTGCCACATTTACACTTTTTCTCACCAGTGTGATCAAAACCCTCCTCGTGCATCTTATTACTGGTAAAATAAATCATTACATTCTTTTCTTTTAAAGTATGAAGATTTTGACTCTAGATAAGAGATGAGCAAAGTAAATGTTGCTTTAACTTAAAGGTTGATATGTTCTTACAAAAATACTGTTTTTGTGTCAAAATAAGCTCCACCGTTTTGTTTGCCAGATCCAGCTGGAAATAAACCTAAAAGGACTTATGCCTCTTTCTGATCTGAATGGTCAGTCCCTAAACCCCAGCACCTGCACCAGTCATGAGTCAGTGCTAGTGAGGCTTCTGCACCTCAGTGAGTGAATTCAGGTGGTTCTGAGCTTTCACATGAGGCCTGTCCATATACTGAGAATGAGAAAACCCTGTATGTCTTCTCTATCTGCAGGTTCAGGCTCTGGTTGTGATTGTAGTACCTTTTTACACCAGTAGGAACACATGCTGCATAATTATCCTCCCATTGAAGATAACAGTGTGTTTGTCCTTTGTTCCAGGGCTACTGTAAGTACTCTGTGCTCTTTTACGGATACTACAACAGCCAGAGGACCATAGGACTGCTCAAGTTCAGGCTGCCTCTGTCCTACCTCTTGGTGGGTATCGGTACCTTCGGATACAGCCTCATGGTGGTCATACGAACGTGAGTCCACTCTCCCATCCACACTCACAGAAGAGTCTTAGATACAGAAACACGAGTCCACTCTCACACTCACAGAAGATTAGACCAAGATGCAGGATGAAATATATTTATCATTGTGAAAAGATGAGATGGAGAAAATAATGAAATACTGACCCTACACAATTTGTGTAATTTGGGGAAAATACTATTCATTGGTATGTCTGTTTACCTGTTGACATCCTTTTTTTTGCTTGATTCCTTTGAACATAAAGCTGAGTTAAAGATGGGCTTGTGGTCTGTTTAGGATGGCTAAGAACGCAGACGTGGGCGGGGGCGATGGGGAGGAGGGAGAGTTCACGTTTGCCTGGAAGATGTTCACCAGCTGGGATTATCTGATCGGGAACGCAGAGACCGCCGACAACAAGTACGCCTCCATCACCACCAGCTTCAAGGTGAGCTGGCCTGTGGCTGTGGGACCCTGAAGACCACTTTTCACTCATTTCAGAGACCAGAGCAGAGCTTTGACGTCACTGTAAACATCTAGTATTCTGACACTACCACTGTTGTAGATGGTTATGTAATAGATAACTACACTGTAAATGGTTAGACTGTAGATACTGTAGGTGCTGTTGATACTGTAGATGCTGTAGATCCTGTAGATGTTGTAGATGTTGTAGATGTTGTAGATGCTGTAGATCCTGTAGATGTTGTAGATGTTGTAGATGTTGTAGATGTTGTAGATGTTGTAGATGCTGTAGATCCTGTAGATGTTGTAGATGTTGTAGATCCTGTAGATGTTGTAGATGTTGTAGATGCTGTAGATGTGTTGTAGATGTTGTAGATGCTGTAGATGCTGTAGATGTTGTAGATGCTGTAGATGCTGTAGATGTAGATGCTGTAGATGTTGTAGATGCTGTAGATGTTGTAGATGTTGTAGATGTTGTAGATGTTGTAGATGCTGTAGATGTTGTAGATGTTGTAGATGTTGTAGATGCTGTAGATGTTGTTGTAGATGTTGTAGATGTTGTAGATGCTGTAGATGTTGTAGATGTAGATGTGTAGATGCTGTAGATGCTGTTGTAGATGTTGTAGATGTTGTAGATGTTGTAGATGTTGTAGATGTTGTAGATGCTTGTAGAGTTGTAGATGTTGTAGATGTTGTAGATGTTGTAGATGCTGTAGATGTTGTAGATGTTGTAGATGTTGTAGATGTTGTAGATGCTGTAGATGCTTGTAGATGTTGTAGATGTTGTAGATGTTGTAGATGTTGTAGATGCTGTAGATGTTGTAGATGTTGTAGATGCTGTAGATGCTGTAGATGTTGTAGATCCTGTAGATGTTGTAGATGTTGTAGATGTTGTAGATGTTGTAGATCCTGTAGATCCTGTAGATGTTGTAGATGTTGTAGATCCTGTAGATGTTGTAGATGCTGTAGATGCTGTAGATGTTGTAGATGTTGTAGATGTTGTAGATGCTGTAGATGCTGTAGATGTTGTAGATCCTGTAGATGTTGTAGATGTTGTAGATGTTGTAGATGTTGTAGATCCTGTAGATCCTGTAGATGTTGTAGATGTTGTAGATCCTGTAGATGTTGTAGATGTTGTAGATCCTGTAGATGTTGTAGATGTTGTAGATCCTGTAGATGTTGTAGATGTTGTAGATGTTGTAGATGTTGTAGATCCTGTAGATAGATGCTGTAGATGCTGTAGATGTTGTAGATGTTGTAGATGCTGTAGATGTTGTAGATGCTGTAGATGTTGTAGATGCTGTAGATGTTGTAGATGTTGTAGATGTTGTAGATGTTGTAGATGTTGTAGATGCTGTAGATGTTGTAGATGTTGTAGATCCTGTAGATCCTGTAGATGTTGTAGATGTTGTAGATCCTGTAGATGTTGTAGATGCTGTAGATGCTGTAGATGTTGTAGATGTTGTAGATGTTGTAGATGTTGTAGATCCTGTAGATGTTGTAGATGTTGTAGATGTTGTAGATGTTGTAGATCCTGTAGATGCTGTAGATGCTGTAGATGTTGTAGATGTTGTAGATGTTGTAGATGTTGTAGATGTTGTAGATGTTGTAGATGTTGTAGATCCTGTAGATGTTGTAGATGTTGTAGATGTTGTAGATGCTGTAGATGTTGTAGATGTTGTAGATGTTGTAGATGTTGTAGATGCTGTAGATGTTGTAGATGTTGTAGATGTTGTAGATGTTGTAGATCCTGTAGATGTTGTAGATGTTGTAGATGCTGTAGATGCTGTAGATGTTGTAGATGCTGTAGATGCTGTAGATGTTGTAGATGTTGTAGATGTTGTAGATGCTTGTAGATGTTGTAGATGTGCTGTAGATGCTGTAGATGCTGTAGATGTTGTAGATGTAGATGTTGTAGATGTTGTAGATGTTGTAGATGTTGTAGATGCTGTAGATGTTGTGTAGATGTTGTAGATGCTGTAGATGTTGTAGATGTTGTAGATGTTGTAGATGTTGTAGATGTTGTAGATCCTGTAGATGTTGATGTTGTAGATGTTGTAGATGTTGTAGATGTTGTAGATGTTGTAGATGCTGTAGATGTTGTAGATGTTGTAGATGTTGTAGATGTTGTAGATGTTGTAGATGTTGTAGATGTTGTAGATGTTGTAGATGTTGTAGATGTTGTAGATGCTGTAGATGTTGTAGATGTTGTAGATGCTGTAGATGTTGTAGATGTTGTAGATGCTGTAGATGCTGTAGATGTTGTAGATCGTGTAGATCGTGTAGATCGTGTAGAAGTTGTAGGTGCTTGTGCGCTGACTGTGTGTGACTTCAGGAGTCCATCGTGGATGAGCAGGAGAACCAGAAGGATGAGAACATCCACCTGCGGCGCTTCCTGCGGGTGCTTGCAAACTTCCTGATCACCTGCAGTCTGGGCGGCAGCGGCTACCTCATCTACTTTGTGGTCAAACGCTCGCAAGAGTTCGCCAACAGGGACGATCTCAGCTGGTACGAGAAGAATGAGGTATGTACTACTACTACTACTACTACTACTACTACTACTACTACTACTACTACTACTACTACTATTACTACTACTACTACTACAACTATTACAGCCACTACTACCTGGTTAAGCTTTCACCAACAGAGACAACCTCAGCTGGTATATGAAGAATGAACTTTTGAATACTCCCTCTACTACTTACTAACACATCAGTACACGCAAACTTGTAATTCTACTAGTCCTACCATTGTATCCAATTACTACAGTGCTACTAGTACTATTACTGCTACTAGTACTTATACAGTTATTACTACAGATACTATGGCCAACCTCTTACTACCACAGTAAGTGGACTAGTGCAGTATGATATTACCAGTACTAATAGTGCCTTTATTACCACTTCAAACTATTATACAATCCAATGTACAATTTAGCTACAGCTGTTGCTTGTATTTGTACCCAGCCACTTGAATAGCAAATTCTAGATAAAAAAAACAAATGTATTAAATAAATATGAGGCTAGATGATGACCAAATGTGCTGAGCTGATCATGTCTCTGACACATGACACATGTATTTTTTGGTGTGTGTTTCAGTTGGAGCTGATCATGTCTCTGCTGGGCCTGGTGTGTCCTCCTCTGTTTGAGACCATTGCAGAGCTGGAGGACTACCACCCCAGGATTGCCCTCAAGTGGCAGCTCGGGCGCATCTTCGCTCTGTTCCTGGGAAACCTCTACACCTTCCTGTTCGCTCTGTTCGATGAGGTCAACACCAAGGTACAGACCAGACCAGAGTCTTCAGTGAGGACTGTTATATGTGTACAGAGATATACTCTTTCTAAAACAAATGATAATCTCTCATCTTCAGATTCTACACCTGGAAACATACACTTACACACATATACTTACACACTGAAAGTTGTATTTGGAGTGATTTGTACATATTTGAATCTTTAATCACTTATATTTAAAACTCCGCTTTTGCTGACTCACCTCCACCACCAGCAGACGCCTACTGCTCTGTACTTAGTTCTACAATTGTATTTTCTTAAACATCACATACTCATTTTGGTACAAATGAAAAAGAAGAAGGCTGTTTTAACACTGTGATGATCATATTGAGTCGTTTGTAGGTGTGTGGACTTTAAAAACACAGAGGAGCTCTTCTGCTGTCTTTCTCCTAATCTCCTGCATGTCCCTTGTATCCTTGTCTCTCTCTCCCTGTGCTCAGCTGGAGGAGGAGCAGTCCATAAAGAACCAGTCCATCTGGGCCATGAAGGAGTACTACGCCAACTTCTCCCGCCTGATGAACGACTCTGAGGCCACGCCCCCTCCCATGGACCCCGCTGATGTCATCAGGGGCCCGTGCTGGGAGACTGCGGTCGGCATTGTGAGCAAACTCTTCTGTCATGGATCATTTCACGTTTAGTGTCTGTGTTTAGATGCACAGCGGAGATCTGCTCATGATCTGATTCATGGAGTTCTCTCATTATTCTTATGTCACAGAAACATTACATCTGATTTTTCACACCTGGAAAATGATGCTCAGAAAGACAAAGCAGAGCGGCGAAGACTAAAATGAAAGAGGAAATGTTAAAGATTGAGAGAGTTACTGTGAAATGTACTTTATCTTCCAAATACAAGAGTTTCTGAAACATCCACTGATCAGCAGCTGAGTCATGACCTCACCAGGTGTTTCTCACGTTCATATTTCTCTCGTGCTGTAAACACACACCATTCACATTCACTGATTGTGTTCTCTGATGATTCGAGTTTTGTGCAAGACCAAGTAGATCATGTACCCACTGTGTCAGCCAGGATCACTACATGTACATCACTACATGGTACAAGGATTCATCTATGACAATGTGAGTCCTGGTGAGTCCTGGTGAGTCCTGGTGAGTCCTGGTCTGGTCTCTCTGAGCTCTCACACCAGGCTCCAGTGCTTGTGGGTGGAGGTGGTCAGGAGTATATGGTATAAGGATGAGTCTTTTACATTGTGAGTCCTGGTGAGTCCTGGTGAGTCCTGGTGAGTCCTGGTGAGTCCTGGTCTGGTCTCACACAGGACTCCACCTGCTTCTGTTTCAGGAGTTTGTGAAGCTGACCGTCTCGGACATCCAGGTGACCTACCTGACCATCCTGATCGGAGACTTCGCTCGTGCCGTCATCGTGCGCTTCCTCAACTACTGCTGGTGCTGGGACCTGGAGGCCGGCTTTGTACGTGCACACTCACACTCACGTGCACTCTGCTCGTATCAGTCAGTTCAGTGCAACCTCCGAGAAGTTGTCCCCCTTCAAACGCAAATCTGCACGAAAAGCTGTTTTGTGCTACAAAACGTTTTGTTTGTGCTGCTTTAGTTTGGGAGATATTAATAATTCCTTTAAAGGTCAAATTAGGGTCAGCAGCCCCCAAGAAGCTTCATAATGCTCTAAATGATCTTAAGCTGTGGAAAAGTCTGTATTATTTTATAAAACATGAATCCAAAGCAAGTTACTAAAGACTGATCCAGACTTTTCCACAGAAATTACATCATATAATTTTTGCAGAAGTAATAAACTAATGAAATATAAACATTTCATATAAATTTCTGCCTGTTTTGAGGCTATTTAACTTTTTGAGGGGCTGGATGAAGTCATCGGCTCAAAATAAAATTGCTAATATCTTAAGAACGATTATTGCACAAACAAATCTTTTTGCAGCAAAAACTACAAACAAAACACAAACAAGTGACACCATTTTGGGCTGTTTAGAGCATTTTGAAGCTTCCTGGGAGGTGTCTGACCCCAGTTTGATCTATAAAAGAGTTGTTAATATCTCCAACACTAAAGCAGCACAAACCTTTCTGCAGCACAAACGAAGCACAAACCATTGACATAGTTTTTGTGTACGTTTGTGTTTGATGGGGGCCAACTTCACGCAGGTTTCAGACCTGATGAAACTTACTGACTACATTATTCAAGCTTTTCTGAACTACCTGTGGACATCTTAGCCTTTTTTAAGTAACGCAGGTAAATAGGAACAAAAAGGCTCTGGTGGAACACTGAAGGATGGGGACAGTTGAAATTAGGCTTAAAAAGCGGCTATGATGCAGAATCATCTGTTTTGAGCTTTCATGTTATAAAGTTGTTTACTCACCAAAAACATCCATGTATGTTTGAGTAATTTAGCGATCTCTCTCAGGTCCTAGTTGAACCCCTCCTTTATGTTTAGCCGTATGATCCTATCCAAGACTCAGGCCTCAAGCCTACATCACCTCTGTTCTCACACGGCAACCATATAAGTACAATAAAAAAGAATACAACAATATCACTTCACAAGCTTGATGTGATGTGCAGTAGTCTCATTGCATCTGACTGTGTTATGATAGCGCTCTGAAGGGGGAGTGAATTAGTGGGAAGAGCAAAGAGAGGTGGACTCAAAACTGAAATCTCGCATGTTGAAATTGTTCAAAGTGAACGTGATGATCTAAATGTGTTTAGGGAAGCAGAAATAAGGCAGGGAGAGTGGGCGGGTTTACGATATGAAAGTCCTGAGAAGTGATTGGTTGAGAGGCAAAGGTCGCAGGTTGTGATTGGCTGAGTACAGGGGAGGAGTCACTACAGTGTTGTATTCTGTTTCAGCCATCGTATGGAGAGTTTGACATCAGCGGAAATGTGCTGGGGCTCGTCTTCAACCAGGGCATGATCTGGTGAGCCCCGCCTTCTCTGTGTTTGCCCCTCCCTCCTCCTCACCTGTCAGTCCCCTCCCTCACCTGTCTGCTCCTCCACCTCACCTGTCCCCTCCCTTACATACTTCCCTCTTCCTCACCTGTCCCTTCCATCACCTCTTTGCCCCTCACTCCTCACCTGTCTCCTCCCTTACGTGTCTTCCTCTCACACCTCACCTGTCCCCTCCCTCCTCACCTGTCTGCCCTGTCCCCTCCTTCCCCTGTCCCCTCCCTGTCTCCATCTTCTGTCCTGGCTCATGTGTCCGTGTCCGGTTGCTCGGCTGTGGCTGCGGTGTTCTATGTTCACGTGCCGTTACCTGCCAGCGCCTGTCCCCCTGTCACCTGATGCGCCTGTGTGAAAGCCGCTCACGTTTTGGAGCCCGTTGGAGTGTGACCACTAATCGGCCCATTACACACTGGTCTCACACAGAGCTGGAGCTGCTTCAGAACAAGGGGAGAGAAACATGAAACTTGTCCTCAGCTGATGATCTGCTGCTGTTTCATGAGCGCAGGCTTTTGGAAATCCTTGTGTGCTTTTAGATCACACTTTAATACACAAGTGTATCAAGGAAACTGCTGAAACCTGAATCTGATCGTTTTAAACAACAATCCACATCCTCTGAGCTTTGGCCAGGGGAGTAGAGGATGCACTGATGTGAGTTTGTAGAGAGAAAGGAGCAGACACAGAAATGACAAAATCACACCTGGGGCCAGTTTTGTAAATGACCCAAATAAAGATAAAATACAAATCTTACTTTCTTTAGATTCAGGAGATTCTGTATTGTTTTAAATGCACTTTTTGCCGACTATTCCTCAGGACCAGTACCAGTTCACTACAAACCCATAAACCATGTAAACACAGATGCACGTGTGTGTGTACATGTGTGTGTGTGTGTACATGTGTGTGTCTATTAGGGATGCAACGATATTTGATATAATATGGAATCCTTCGATACTGGTGTCACGATTCGTTAAACGTGTTTTTGTCGATACGCGTGTCGATATGCACGTGTCCCTCCGTACACGCTGTGTCATCATTTATTTTTGGTCTGAAAACAGCTCCACAGGGACTTACAGCTAAAATATTCTAACATCTTTATCATTCAGTCACTTTTTATTTTACATTGATAGACCCAAGAATGGCAAAGATATTCACTTTTAAATAATTTAGAAACGCTTTTTACTTCACGTCAGCTTTAATCAAATGTGCTCGTATATGCACACACAACGTGACTCGATATACACGATCTTTTTCTCAGACTCTGTCTCATAAGTTTTACTCAGAAAAGTCTGTGAAACATTTTTATGCAATATACGTAACATAGTTTTAGTGTCCAGAAAGAGAATGGGAGAGCGCAGTGTGTCACTGCAGCAGGACAATGTGGGAGGAGCTACGTACGTCTCTGTGGAGGGGCAGTGTGGGAGGAGCTACGTACTGTCTCTGCTGGAGGAGGCAGTGTGGGAGGAGCTACGTACTGTCTCTGCTGGAGGAGGACAGAGCAGCGCTGACACAGGCCTGAGCATTGCACACAGTGAGACTCAGGAGGAAAATAAATCATGAAATTATCATTGAAAAAAGAAAAAGTCTGATAGTAACTCCCCTAGCAGTTTATGTTAGGAGTACACTAATTATCAAATATAAAAACTGCCCGAGAAACTCTGTTCTTATTTTCACTGAATAAAAATTTTGCTGTAAATCGTTGAATGAAATGAAACTAAAACACTTGACATATAAACTCCAGCAGTACAGTAGTTGTACTGTAGTGTATTGTGTTTAATGTTTCATTCATATATAGTGTTACTATTATATTATACTCTTAAAAAAAATTTACAACATGTACAAACATACAACATGTCAAAAGAAACAGTGAATAAAATCAAAGATAATTTTGTTACATTTTGGTCAAATAAAAAATAATGTAACAACAAACTGCAGTTATGTATTTAAATTTAATGATTTTGCTGCAACTTAAATTGTTGTTACTAGTTGACTCTNAATTTAGCGATCTCTCTCAGGTCCTAGTTGAACCCCTCCTTTATGTTTAGCCGTATGATCCTATCCAAGACTCAGACCTCAAGCCTACATCACCTCTGTTCTCACACGGCAACCATATAAGTACAATAAAAAAGAATACAACAATATCACTTCACAAGCTTGATGTGATGTGCAGTAGTCTCATTGCATCTGACTGTGTTATGATAGCGCTCTGAAGGGGGAGTGAATTAGTGGGAAGAGCAAAGAGAGGTGGACTCAAAACTGAAATCTCGCATGTTGAAATTGTTCAAAGTGAACGTGATGATCTAAATGTGTTTAGGGAAGCAGAAATAAGGCAGGGAGAGTGGGCGGGTTTACGATATGAAAGTCCTGAGAAGTGATTGGTTGAGAGGCAAAGGTCGCAGGTTGTGATTGGCTGAGTACAGGGGAGGAGTCACTACAGTGTTGTATTCTGTTTCAGCCATCGTATGGAGAGTTTGACATCAGCGGAAATGTGCTGGGGCTCGTCTTCAACCAGGGCATGATCTGGTGAGCCCCGCCTTCTCTGTGTTTGCCCCTCCCTCCTCCTCACCTGTCAGTCCCCTCCCTCACCTGTCTGCTCCTCCACCTCACCTGTCCCCTCCCTTACATACTTCCCTCTTCCTCACCTGTCCCTTCCATCACCTCTTTGCCCCTCACTCCTCACCTGTCTCCTCCCTTACGTGTCTTCCTCTCACACCTCACCTGTCCCCTCCCTCCTCACCTGTCTGCCCTGTCCCCTCCTTCCCCTGTCCCCTCCCTGTCTCCATCTTCTGTCCTGGCTCATGTGTCCGTGTCCGGTTGCTCAGCTGTGGCTGCGGTGTTCTATGTTCACGTGCCGTTACCTGCCAGCGCCTGTCCCCCTGTCACCTGATGCGCCTGTGTGAAAGCCGCTCACGTTTTGGAGTCCGTTGGAGTGTGACCACTAATCGGCCCATTACACACTGGTCTCACACAGAGCTGGAGCTGCTTCAGAACAAGGGGAGAGAAACATGAAACTTGTCCTCAGCTGATGATCTGCTGCTGTTTCATGAGCGCAGGCTTTTGGAAGTCCTTGTGTGCTTTTAGATCACACTTTAATACACAAGTGTATCAAGGAAACTGCTGAAACCTGAATCTGATCGTTTTTAAACAACAATCCACATCCTCTGAGCTTTGGCCAGGGGAGTAGAGGATGCACTGATGTGAGTTTGTAGAGAGAAAGGAGCAGACACAGAAATGACAAAATCACACCTGGGGCCAGTTTGTAAATGACCCAAATAAAGATAAAATACAAATCTTACTTTCTTTAGATTCAGGAGATTCTGTATTGTTTTAAATGCACTTTTTGCCGACTATTCCTCAGGACCAGTACCAGTTCACTACAAACCCATAAACCATGTAAACACAGACGCACGTGTGTGTGTACATGTGTGTGTGTGTGTACATGTGTGTGTCTATTAGGGATGCAACGATATTTTATATAATATGGAATCCTTCGATACTGGTGTCACGATTCGTTAAACGTGTTTTGTCGATACGCGTGTCGATATGCACGTGTCCCTCCGTACACGCTGTGTCATCATTTATTTTGGTCTGAAAACAGCTCCACAGGGACTTACAGCTAAAATATTCTAACATCTTTATCATTCAGTCACTTTTTATTTTACATTGATAGACCCAAGAATGGCAAAGATATTCACTTTTAAATAATTTAGAAACGCTTTTTACTTCACGTCAGCTTTAATCAAATGTGCTCGTATATGCACACACAACGTGACTCGATATACACGATCTTTTTCTCAGACTCTGTCTCATAAGTTTTACTCAGAAAAGTCTGTGAAACATTTTTATGCAATATACGTAACATAGTTTTAGTGTCCAGAAAGAGAATGGGAGAGCGCAGTGTGTCACTGCAGCAGGACAATGTGGGAGGAGCTACGTACTGTCTCTGCTGGAGGAGGCAGTGTGGGAGGAGCTACGTACTGTCTCTGCTGGAGGAGGACAGAGCAGCGCTGACACAGGCCTGAGGCATGTGCACACAGTGAGACTCAGGAGGAAAATAAATCATGAAATTATCATTGAAAAAGAAAAGTCTGATAGTAACTCCCCTAGCAGTTTATGTTAGGAGTACACTAATTATCAAATATAAAACTGCCCGAGAAACTCTGTTCTTATTTTCACTGAATAAAAATTTTGCTGTAAATCGTTGAATGAAATGAACTAAAACACTTGACATATAAACTCCAGCAGTACAGTAGTTGTACTGTAGTGTATTGTGTTTAATGTTTCATTCATATATAGTGTTACTATTATATTATACTCTTAAAAAAAATTACAACATGTACAAACATACAACATGTCAAAAGAACAGTGAATAAAATCAAAGATAATTTGTTACATTTTGGTCAAATAAAAAATAATGTAACAACAAACTGCAGTTATGTATTTAAATTTAATGATTTTGCTGCACTTAAATTGTTGTGTTACTAGTTGGACTCTGACAAGCAAAACTCTCTTAAATGAGCTGAAAGTATCTATAAAAAACACTTTTAGACAAGTATTAGACAAAAAGCTCACGAGGTATCACTACTGCAGAAAACTTGACAAATACACATTTCAACACAATCAAATATGCAGATTTAATTTTAGTACACAAAGTTTGTAATAATCAGGAGTTTATGAAAAGAAACTCAAATGGGTTCTTCTTCTGGATCAGGAAAACATGAAACGCAGAGCAGCTTGTGTGTGTGTGTACCGTGAGTGTGTTGTGTGTATAGTGAGTGTGTTGTGTGTATAGTGAGTGTGTTGTGTGTCCAGTGAGTGTGTTGTGTGTGTACAGTGAGTGTGTTGTGTGTCCAGTGAGTGTGTTGTGTGTCAGTGAGTGTGTGAGTGAGTGTGTTGTGTGTACAGTGAGTGTGTTGTGTGTGTACAGTGAGTGTGTTGTGTGTATAGTGAGTGTGTTGTGTGTCCAGTGAGTGTGTTGTGTGTGTACAGTGAGTGTGTTGTGTGTGTATAGTGAGTGTGTTGTGTGTCCAGTGAGTGTGTTGTGTGTCCAGTGAGTGTGTTGTGTGTGTACAGTGAGTGTGTTGTGTGTACAGTGAGTGTGTTGTGTGTTACAGTGAGTGTGTTGTGTGTGTGTGAGTGTGTTGTGTGTATAGTGAGTGTGTTGTGTGTACAGTGAGTGTGTTGTGTGTCCAGTGAGTGTGTTGTGTGTATAGTGAGTGTGTTGTGTGTCCAGTGAGTGTGTTGTGTGTCCAGTGAGTGTGTTGTGTGTCCAGTGAGTGTGTTGTGTGTCCAGTGAGTGTGTTGTGTGTACAGTTGTGTGTACAGTGAGTGTGTTGTGTGTACAGTGAGTGTGTTGTGTGTACAGTGAGTGTGTTGTGTGTACAGTGAGTGTGTTGTGTGTGTACAGTGAGTGTGTTGTGTGTGTACAGTGAGTGTGTTGTGTGTCCAGTGAGTGTGTTGTGTGTCCAGTGAGTGTGTTGTTTGTTGTTGTTGTTGTTGTTGTACTTTTCCCTGTCCTGAGGATGATTTCTTCTGCTCATTAATTTGTGCTCCTATTTACAAAAAAGGAAAGAAGAAAGAAATAAGGAGCCTTCTTCACTCCTGGTCTCCACTTCATCACTTCATATGCCATAAGACATGTAAACCTAACTGTATGTTTCTGTGTGTGTTTGTGTGTGTCTGTGTGTGTGTCTGTGTGTGTGTTTGTATATGTGTGTGTGTCTGTGTCTGTGTCTCTGCATGTTTCTGTGTGTGTCTGTGTGTGTGTGTCTCTGCATGTTTCTGTGTGTGTTTGCGTGTGTGTGTGTATGTGTCTCTGTGTGTTTGTGTCTGTGTGTGTGTGTGTGTATGTGTCTCTGTGTGTGTTTGTGTCTCTGTGTGTGTGTGTGTCTCTGTGTGTGTGTGTGTGTCTCTGTGTGTGTGTGTCTCTGTGTGTGTGTGTGTGTGTGTCGTGTGTGTGTGTGTGTGTCTCTGTGTGTGTGTGTGTGTATGTGTCTCTGTGTGTGTGTGTGTCTCTCTCTCTGTGTGTGTGTGTGTGTGTGTGTGTGTGTGTGTGTGTCTCTGTGTGTGTGTGTGTCTCTCTCTGTGTGTGTGTGTGTGTGTGTGTGTCTGTGTGTGTGTGTGTGTGTGTGTGTGTCTCTGTGTGTGTGTGTCTCTCTGTCTGTGTGTGTGTGTGTGTGTGTGTGTGTGTGTGTGTCTCTGTGTGTGTGTGTGTGTGTGTATGTGTCTCTGTGTGTGTGTGTGTGTGTGTCTCTCTGTCTGTGTGTGTGTGTCTCTCTGTCTGTGTGTGTGTGTGTGTGTCTGTGTGTGTGTGTGTGTGTGTGTGTGTGTGTATGTGTCTCTCTGTCTGTGTGTGTCTCTGTGTGTGTGTGTGTGTGTGTGTGTCTCTCTCTGTGTGTGTGTCTGTGTGTGTGTGTGTGTGTGTGTGTGTGTGTGTCTCTGTGTGTGTGTGTGTGTCTCTCTGTGTGTGTGTGTGTGTGTGTGTGTGTGTGTGTGTGTCTGTGTGTGTGTGTGTGTGTGTGTGTGTGTGTGTGTGTCTCTCTGTGTGTGTGTGTGTGTCTCTGTGTGTGTGTGTGTGTGTGTGTCTCTGTGTGTGTGTGTGTGTCTCTCTGTGTGTGTGTGTGTGTGTGTGTGTGTGTCTCTCTCTGTGTGTGTGTGTGTGTGTGTGTGTGTGTGTCTCTCTGTGTGTGTGTGTGTTGCAGGATGGGAGCCTTCTTCGCCCCTGGGCTCGTGGGCATAAACGTGCTGCGTCTGCTCACCTCCATGTACTACCAGTGCTGGGCCGTCATGGCCACCAACGTCCCCCACGAGAGGGTCTTCAAGGCCTCCAAGTCCAACAACTTCTACATGGGTCTGCTGCTGCTCATCCTGTTCCTCAGCCTGCTGCCTGTGGTCTACACCATCATGACCATGCCCCCCTCCTTCGACTGCGGACCCTTCAGGTCAGACCTCAGCTTTGAATGGAGAGTCAGGTGGACCAGATCCATAGTTTCTTCTGCGTTTGACTCGTCCTCCAGTGGGTTAGGACTCTCCGGAGCAGTGGGAGTGCAGGAACCTGTCTGCAGATTTGAGCCTGGATCTTTATCAGGAGAACCTGGCCTGGGACTGTCTGTGTGAGAATGTGTGTCTGTAATGGCTCAGGTGAAATGTTTTCCAGTAAACCTGAAGATGGTCAGTCTGTGCTTTGAATATCGCTCTTCTGTCCCTGTGTGAATGTGGACTGCAAATGCTAGAGGTCAGAAAGAAAGTTTGTGCAGCCAGATCTTTAACGTCCAGGGCGTCTGGGACAGTAGAACTGTATTTATGAAGAAAGTATTTATTTTTAGTGTTGTTTATATTTGGGTGTAAAATGTCTGATGATGATTGTTCTTGTGCGCAGCGGCAAAGAGAAGATGTTTGATGTGATCATGGAGACCATCGACCTGGACCTGCCCGCCTTCATGGGGACTCTGTTCAGTTACGCAGCCAACCCGGGTCTGATCATCCCCGCAGTGCTGCTCATGGTGTGAGTGTGACCCTGCTCGCGGTGTGACCCTGCTCGCGGTGTGACCCTGCTCAGCGTGTGAGTGTGACCCTGCTCATGGTGTGACTCTGCTGTGGAACATGTAACTGTTCATTTCAAAAGGCGTCACTTCCCTCTGTGTCCAGCAGAGGGAGTCAAATATCCAGGCGTTTCCAGTCAAAGTGCTGCTCATCCTCTTTTCCACATGTTCATTATTTTGAGTATTTTAAAAACCTGTAAAAGTCTTTAAACAAGACAAGTAAAAGTGTTCAAATCAAAAACTAAACCCATATTTGTGCTCCTGTCCCAGGCTGGCCATCTACTACCTGAACTCAGTGTCTGAGGCCTACAAGAACTCCAACATGGAGCTTAAGAAGAAGATGCAGATGGTGAGAAGATTCTAAACTCAGGCTTGTTTCATGGATCACATCACTCACGTGAAACCTTTTGATCCAAACCTAAACGTGCTTTCTGTTTCATCAGGGCTGCACAGACCAATAACTGAATCATTTCATGATCTCAAAGATGCAAAAGAAATCATTAGATGAGCTGAACATGTGAAAAAAGGAGCTGCTCATTCGTTGCAGCTCTACTTTAGAACTTTGAGCATTGTTTAGGTTGAGCTCCACTGTCACAGACTGAGCCTGTCCTTCTCTTGTTGCTCATGGGACAGACCTTCCAGGCTGTGTTGGCTTTAGTCTAGACGAGTCCCGTCCTGAGAATCATGTGTCCTCACGAGTCTCGTCCTCGTCCTCAGGCTCGAGATGAGGAGAAGAACCGGAGGAACAACACCAACAGCACCAACCAGGTGATGAAGGACCTGGAAGACCTGCTGCCCAACCGCTCCCTGGCCCCCCCACAGCCGCCGCCTGAGCCTGGTACATCTAACACTTTTTCCCTTTACTGTTTCTCTTGACTTCTCCTCATCTGTGTGTAAATATAGTTCAGGTGACTGCCAGGACTTTCTGAGAAAACATTGAACGTTTAGACAAATCACCAGCCTCACAGCAGAACTGTCTGAATCGTCTTCTACTCTCCAGAACCTGCTGCATCTGTAGTGTCACTGGACCCATCCAGAAAATGTTTACAAGCAACTGTCACTCTTTCTCTTTCTCTCTCTGTTTCTCTCTGTCTCTGTGTCTAGAGCCTGACCCAGAGCCCAGACCCACCAAGACCAAATCGGGCTCAGGGGCCAAAGGAGTGAACGTGCAGAAAGATGTGGCCCTGGCCTCCCCCAACCCCAACAGAGGGGCCCCTGTGAACAGAGCCCCGGGGCCCCGAGGCAGAGGGCCCCCACCCAGATGACCTCCAGCAGCGACAGTGACAGTGTGTGTGTGTTATACAAGTGTGTGTGAATCTATGAACGACTGACTATGAGACCAGGGAACGTTTAGAGTGTCCATCCCACACACACGACTTTCCCAAACATGCACTTATAATAATACAAGCTCCTTTCACTGTGTCCTTCTATAAGTGTTTTTCATCAGAGTTTTCAATAAAATCAAGTTTCCTATTTAAACTTTGTACTGTATTTCCTGTTAACATTCAACAAAAGCAACAGATTTTAATAGAATGAATATAATGTATAAATGAAAATAATGTATAAACCCTACAAGGCTCATTTTAATCATCAGGGGCAGAATAATAATCCCTACAATACAAAAACAAACAGACCTGAATCATCATGTTTGTTTCTGTGGATAAATAAATAATATACAAATAGAATAATACACAGTCCCAGTCACACACACACACACATGATCTCCCTCTGCTGGCACCAACTGATGGTGCACAGACAGGCCCACAAACCCACACCTGTCACCTGACCTCACCTCCTGACTCAGTTGATGAATGCATCATGAGAGGTGGAAAAGAGGTGTGCACTCGTCCGTCAAAGACTTCTTAAGAGACTGAGAATAATTCTAAGAAATACTTTCAGAAAAAGTCCTGAGGGCAGATTTGGGGAAAAGTGGGTAAATCTGCTGTTTCCCATAATTTGAGGTGGTGATTCCAAATATGTTTTTTACCAAGCTGGATTTGGAGTTTTGAGTTCCCTTGTGTGGGGAAGGTGGCCAAAGTGGTCCAAGTAGGAGGCAGATGTAACAAAAAAAAAAGTGTCTTTACCCAGACAAAATTTATTTTATAACAGACTTTTGGAGTTCACCAATGAAAGTACAAATAAACCAAAAATAAATAACTCAAATCTAGTGATGGGTTGTCACTCTTCCTGAAGTGGAGTGATTCAAAACTCTGTGTCGGAGCTTGTATCTAAAACACCAGTGTGTGACCGATGACGTTCAAAGCTTCAGACGTCATTGCTGTTTCGCTTCGTCCTTCATTGCTTCAAAAATGTTTTGAAGCTTCTCATTGGCTCACAGTCTTTCAGTGTGTGTATTTTGACGAGTTTCATGGTGAGTAACACCAGTAAGTGACGTTCTGTAGTTTGGGATCATTTTGATCTCATACAACCAAATAAGATATAATGCAGTTTATGGCATACATTTTATGTTCCTATGTTTGATTTGCATTTTTTATTTTGAAGTGGGTCTCAGAATTACAGTTGCTTGTAGGTGCAGTGTTTGCTCTGCATACAAGAGTTGTCTTACAACAACAACACATCATCTATGCTGAGACACTTGTGTGCCAGGCATAATGACAATCAAACCCACCAAACCAGTGACTCTGTCAACACTGGAAATTCTCACAGTAAGTTAAATATATTTGTATATATACTGTATATATGTATGTGTGTGTCTACTTATTCTTCACAGGTTTTTATTGAGAAAAAAAATATTTTTCTACTGTCACAGGCTTCAGTCAGCTCCTCTTCTGGCTGACCAGCTCCCCAGCTTTGGAAAATATCTTTTCACAGGGAACAGATGATGCTGGGATGCACAGATACTTGCATGCAAGTTTCTACAGTGTAGGATATAAAGTCTTTCGTGCCACCCAGTACTTCAGGGGATCCTCTGCTCTTGTCAGAATTTGTTCTTTCAAATATCTATGACACAGACAGTAAGACAAGGAATGACAGTAACAACAACATCAACAGTAATTCACTCTACATAGTTGTCCAGTAAAGCCCACAAGTTGTCATTTTGTTCATCAGCACTGGCAGATGTTGCAGTCTCCAGTGGCACATCTTCTGCTGGCCCATCAAGTAAGACTGGCACACTCTGGTGTCAGCCTTTCTACAGCAGCCTGAGCATTGCTTTGATTAGTAAAGCCAGTCTGTTTAAACTGTGGATCCAAGATGGTGGCCACAGACAGGAAGCTCACCTTTTCCAAGCCAATGAATGTTTCATTCAAATCATTTTTCAAATGGTTGGCAAGCATGGCACCAACACAAGGAGCCATTTGGGCACATTCAACAGAAATGACATGTCTGAGCATTTTGGCTATTGCCTTTGACCCAGACTCTCCTTTCCTCAGAAAGCTCAACAGGTGGCTGATAGAATGACCTTAAAACTGTCAGGCACTGGTTGATTGCTGCATATTCATCAGCAGTGAAAGGCACTATTTCCGTGATGCCAGGGCTGCCCCTAAAGGCTCTCTCTGCTCATAAAGCTTATGGATCATGGAATAAGTGCTGTTCCATCTGGTTTCGACCTCTTGAACAAGGTTTTTTGGGGCATGCCCATATTAGCTTGAATAGAGCACAACTTTTTCTTTGTTTTTGAACTGGACTTCAAGTGTGCAGCTTGACAATAAGATTCAGCATGTGGTCAAAGCAATAACTATGTCTAATGTTTCACTGATGAACACTTGCTACAATATTGTGAGCTCCATCAGTAACCATCCCACAGACCTTTTCAGTGATTCCCTGCTCTGTCATCAAATGTCCAACTGCATGTGAAATATTAGCTGCTGTGTGGAAAATACTGCACACCTAAAAGCACAGTCGTCAGATCTAGGCTGTCTGACAAATAATGGCAAGTGACACAAGGTACCATCCATGTTGACTGATCCACATGTCAACAGTCACACTAACAGCTGAAGTCTGCTTCATTTCTGCCGAGGCCTTCTCTTTGGTTACAGTGTACCTTACTTCCACCATTGCCTTTACAGTATTGAGGCTTGGAATGGAGTATGATGGGCCCAGGATTTTAATAACATTTTGGAGCCCTTCATCCTCAACGATAGAAAAAGGCTTTAACTATCATATCCACTAAGGCCTCATTCATTATCTGTTTTCTGGACACTGTGTGGGAGAAAGGTTACTATATGAATATGATACACAACATCTACAATAAATAGACACACACACATACATATATACAGTATATATACAAATATATTTAACTTACTGTGAGAATTTCCAGTGTTGACAGAGTCACTGGTTTGGTGGGTTTGATTGTCATTATGCCTGGCACACAAGTGTCTCAGCATAGATGATGTGTTGTTGTTGTAAGACAACTCTTGTATGCAGAGCAAACACTGCACCTACAAGCAACTGTAATTTTGAGACCCACTTCAAAATAAAAAATGCAAATCAAACAGAGGAACATAAAATGTATGCCATAAACTGCATTATATCTTATTTGGTTTTATGAGATCAAAATAATCCCAAACTACAGAACTCGCTGCCAAAGAAGGTGTTGAAATCCCACACTCATTTCTCAGTCGAATATTGATGTTCAAAGAAGGAGCCTCATGTCACTGACTTTTATGAATTTGTAAAACTACAAACTGCCAAATGAATTTGTGCATAGTGTCTGAATTATTGAATAAAGGAATGGATGATGAGGATGATGAGGATGATGATGAGGATGATGAGGATGATGAGGATTCTAAACCTATGTGTAGGCCTGACATGGAAGATGATTTTCTGTCAGTGGTGCAGGTCAGTTCAGGTCAGGTCGCTTTATTTGTACCTGTAGATAAAGTTCTTTGGCAGATTTGAGAGGCAGGACCCACAGTTCACATCCACATCATCATCATCGACAAACACGTATAAAACAAAGTTACAAAATCAAGTGTTACAGTGCTCCAGTGCAGAATGGTTTTGTTCCATAAATAATGAGTTAAATTCATTCATCACACTTGACTAAAGTCACAATAAATATTAAATATATAAAAAACACACGATTTTTCCAAGACAAACATACTAAAATTGATAGTTAAATAGATTACAGTTTATTCATAAGTACGATAGTGGCTAGAATGAAGCTCCTTTTAAAACGGTTCGTTCTAGATCTTGGGACTAAAAGTCTCTGACCAGAGGGAAGCAGATGAAACTCTGAGTTTAGTGGATGTTGCTCATCTTTTAAAATCCTTTGAGCCATGGTCTGTAAATGTCTTGAGTCCAGAGAGTCCAGCGGCTCTGAGGATGAATAATCACCTCACTGGCCCATTTTACCAACTGATTCAGGGAGTTCTTGTTTTTAGCAGAGACGCTCCCAAACCATGAGACCAATGAAAACGTTCAAACTGATTCCATAAATGTTTTATAAAACAGTGTCATCATCTGTCTACATGGTAAAAGGAAAACTTTCTCAGACAATAAAGGTGCTGGTGCCTCTTTTACACACAGCAGCACAATTATTGTCAAAACTCAAATTAGACTCAATGAGTGTTCCAAGCTCCTCCTAGGAGTCCACACACTCAACTGACTGCCCCTTTATCTCTCTGACATCAGACTGAGGCGCTCGCTTTTGAAAGTTAATCATCATATCCTTTGTTTTGGACATATTTAGGTGCAGATGTGACTCTTCACACCATTTTACAAAGTCTTCAACAATTGGTCCATGTTGGTTATTGTTATTATTGTTCTATTCCCACAGGTGCTCTGACACTTATTGGTGTAGAGTATGAACAGCAGGGATGAGAGAACACATCCCTGCAGTGAATCTGTTGATGACACCAACTGGTCAGAAAGGAGCCCACTGACCCTTAGTCTCTGTGTTCTCTAGATTAAAAAAATCAAAAATCCACCCGACAATATTAAAATCAAGACGAAAATGTTCTAAAAGCCTTTCGGAAAGAATATGCGGTTGGATTGTGTTGAACGCAGATGAAAACTCAATAAAAAGGAGTCTTGCATGTGTTCCAATCCCCTCTAAATGCTTAAAGAGTAAGTAATGTGACCCTCCAGCTTCACTCAGATATGTTGACAAAAACCTTAATGTTTCTAAAGAAAAACATCAGATTATGACTCCTGCTCTAACTTGTTTTCTTACCTTGATTCCATAAAATATGTTAAGAAAACATCAGATTATGGCTCCTGCACTATTTTAACACTCAGATATGAATTTTGAGACCAGTGCTATTTGGTTTTATTGATTTTATTGGGAAAAATAAGACCCATATTAATATGCATATTAATATGGAAATTAGAAGACCTATCCAGGTTGTTAAACAAAATATTCAGAATCAGCACAGTCAAATTATGAAAAAAAAAAAAAAAAAAAGGTTGACCAACTTTTCCTCAAATTTGCCCTGAGGACTTTTCCTTCTGTGAAAATAATCCTGGTCTATGAGGTTCAATATTAGTAACAAACTGATGTAAATAATATTTTCATTTGGCAGTTCAGATGAGAGATCCATCTGAGACAGGCTGAACCAGGCTGACCTGGCTGAACCGGTCCATCTGCTCAGGTATGTAGCTGCACCCACACCTGAGACAGAGGGTGAAGCCACCTCACACTGAGGGGTGTGGTCCCTTTATTTCACCTCACAGCTTCCACACACACACCTGAGATTCCTGAAAAGTCAGTGCTCCCTCACACAACATACAAACTCCACTCTTTTTTGGAGAGACGTTTTTACTTGACTGTCACGTCCAGAAAGCAGCATGACGTTCTTCAAGAGGTTCTTCAATGATGCTGACCTCAAAGACCGCTTTTCTGAGGATGAGGTGAGTGCATCATATCTGAATACACCTGATGCCCCGTCAGGTGTAACACTTGATAAGAGTGAGAGAGGAAATGGATCTTGTAGTAGATCTTGATCAGAGGTGGGCAATTCTTTTTTCAGAGAAACAAAACATATTGTGGAGGGCCAAAATGCTAAACTCAATTCTGCATAATATTAACTGTATTTCTTTATACAAAGCTTTTGATGAGCTGGTCAGACTGGTAAGAGTTTGTTATGACTAAGCAATGAAAAAGTGAGGCTGCCTTATTAAAAAAACACCTCTAAAAAATAAAAGCAATGCAGCTCTAGTCCATGCATGGGGTCAAATTATAAACTATGTTTATTTTGTAATTCCAAATGATCTTAAATGGGCCGGTCAGTTGACCGAATGTGGCCCCGGAGCTGGACAATGCCCAGGTCTGCTCTTGACAGACAGACTCTTAAAACTTTGTTGTATGTGACCGTGGCTGCAGGTGGTTCCATGTACATCAAATGTAAAATGTATGTTTTGTTTCTCTGACAATCACACGAGCAGCAGCAGCATGTGTAAGGTTTAATACAGAAAAGATATTCATAGAGATTTATTTGGAAAGATGAAAATTACAGGCACATCAAACACTTGAGCAGGACAGTGAATGTTCTGATCACTGGCTCCCAAAAATGTCTAAAAGCTCCAATATTACACAACATTGACTTTTGGCACACAGGTTTGAATAACCTTCTATTATTAGTCTGTCTACGTCCCTCAAAGCTCAAAACGCTCTTTTCCACCTTGTGATTCTTCAAGTGAACAGCTCCTTTTACCTTTAGTTCAGTAGAGATTATCCAAATGATTCTATTGAAGGTGTGTCAATCAACAATCAAGCACTACCTGTATTACTGCATGATGTCACAAGGTGGAACAGGAGTGTCTGAGAGAAGAACTCCTATATCTGCAGGATTTATGTGTTAAATGTGTGTGAATGAAACAAACCACAACTCCAAATATGTTTTTAATGAGGAAACGAACATAGATCAGAAAATAGCGTAATAAGGGCCATTTAAATATGTAAATAAATGTTACATATATTTCTTGAGTTTCAGACCATTTATTTATTTATTTATGTATTTATTTTTATGTGTGTATTGTGTCACCATAGTAACTGGTAAACATACCATCATGGACATAGATGCATTCCTCTGAGGGTGGAGTCTCTGCACAGAATCAATATGGTATTGTTAAGTGATGATGTCACTTCTGGGTCCAAACATAAACAGTGTAAAGAAGTGCACTGAGGGAGTGTGACGTCACCACAGTGTTCAGCTCCAGTCCAGCCAGCAGGTACAGAGAGAATATATAGAATAATACAGATCTACCACACCAGACAAGACCCACGGTGTAGGCTGTGCAAAGAGGCTCCTGAGACAGTCCAGCACAGAACTGCAGGGTGTAAGATGCTGCAGGGAAACAAACATGGAGCGACATAACCAAGTGGCGGGCCTAGTGTACAGAAACATCTGTGCAGAGTACAGGCTGGAGACCCCAGGATCAAGGTTATGGAGAAAGACTGAGCCAAGATCCTGTGGGACTTCCAGATACAGACTGACAGGATGATGGTGATGGACCAACCAGACATAGTGATGCTGGATAAGAAACAGAGCAGAGCCGTGGTGGTGGACATTACAACACCAAGCGATGGTAATATCAGGAAAAAGGAACACGAGAAACTAGAGAAATACCAGGGGCTCAAGGAAGAGCTGGAGAGAGCCTGGAAAGTGAAGGCAGAGAGCAGAGTTCTGGATGTATTGCAGTTTTTGGAGGTGGGTGGAGGGGAGAGCATACAGAAGCTATTACAATAGTTGCGGGTGGCTGAGAGGGGGAGGGGCGGAGAGGGGTGATGTTGCGAAGGCGGAAAAAAAATGTTTTGGTGATGTGGCTGATGTGGGCTCTGAATGAGAAGGTAGGGTCCGTGATGATACCAAGATTGTGTACTGATGGAGAGGGGGTAACGGTGTGACCATCGATGATGAGGGAGATGTTCTGAGCAGAGGGGAGGAGAGCTTTGGGTCCAGTGATGAGTAGTTCTGTTTTATTGCTGTATAGTTTGAGGAAGTTGTGGTCCGACAGGCAGTTCATAATGATGAAGAGAATGACTGGGGAGATGGATCTGGTAAACCTGAGTGTCATCGGCGTAACAGTGGAAATTTAGTC